TTGCCCGGGGGCTGCTGCCAGCATCAGGGGCTTCTTTTTACAATGTGACAGCTCCATCTCCAGAGAGAAGACTCCCCATGCAAAAACAGTGCATCAAAACAAATAAGGCCCGAGCCACTTAAGAGAAGTGGCTGCGTTCAGGACCCATTTTCACTACATGTCAACCAAATGATGCAACGGCACGCACGGATCTGCATTACTTCTTCCGCTTTTGTCTGGATTTGCGGCGGATGAACCTAAAAATAGGGTCTGAGAACAAATACATCCGATTATAGATTTGCTGTTTTGATCACAAACTTGACCCTAAATTGATGATCTGCGTTTCATTTCTCGGCAGGTTTCCATCTTCTTTGTAAAAAAAAAAAAAATCCTCCACCTCCCAGTCCCTGCCTCCCTCACCCTCCTCTGCTCCCCCAAATCTACAGGCAACGGGACGCTCTTGTACATTAAATAAGAACTGTCACCCTGGGCAACTCGCAGCAATGAAGCATTTATTCTGCCTCACATTTCCTGGCACTTAGAATTATTTCCTTCATGCCTGATAACCAAATTACAATATGGCAGGTCTCCCCGGAGCCACAGGATTGTTAGTGCCAGCTCACAACATACTTTCAACTGATGTGGCATTTCATGTACAGCTGCCAATCAAAGCCTGCAGAAGGGAGAGATGTAAATGAGGGCGGGCCCGACGGTGTTCAATTACCGCTCTGAGCTCTGCATAATCCCCCTTCCCACTGACTGACTGACTGACAGCTCCACATTCCTCCTCATCCGCAGCTTTCTCCCCTAATTTCAGCACCTAGCTTTCGCCTCACACTGGGACAGGATATCAGACATCGGAGGGAATTTCTGTCATTTCCATTTAGAATAACGCCAAAAAATGGATTATCTGACATCTGAAGGACTGCGAGAGAAAGGCGTGTGTGTATTCAGAGAGTAAATTATTGCTTACAATTTATGACCCAAAGCTCAAAGCTAAACAAAGTCTCCTATAGGATGCGTCCTCTCCTCTGTTCACTATAATTCTCTCTTTGCCATTATCAAAGAATGGGAATTTCAACAGCTGAGTGGGCTGAGATACTCTTAGCTGCCTACTCAGCATCAACCTTTGGTAAATACTCAGATTAAGAAGATCCATGAATAGCGCGGGTATCTTTTGCTCTTTCTGTCATAAAGACGCCTTTAAGATTCCTCTTAATCCCCGTGTTAAAGGTACGCCAGCCGAATGGCTTAAGCAATGTTCTGCTTGTGACTGAGAAATGATGCCATTAGACCTGCAGGATTCAAAACGCTCTGTTTTTTTGTGCACGAGCGTTTTAATACCACAATGTATCACCGCGCATAATTCTATACAGCTCGCCTGGCTTCATTTAATTTTAAAATATCAAATTGTTTTTCTCTCCACAGTCACCTGATTTTCTTCTGTCCCTGTCTTCTCTCTCCCCGTCTGTCTAAAACTGGCACTTTTGTTGCATTCGGAGAGGTTGATAAATCAATCCATCAAAAAATTCTTTGCGGTGAAACTCAATCAAGAAAGGTCATGTCGGCGGGAAAAGAACAGATTAAATTAGCATTGAATTAGACATGGAAAGTGAGCTCTGTCAAAACCATCACTGTGCTCAGCACAATTAGAATATGTTAATTATGCATTTCATTAAGGGGCCTCGGCGCTCTTTGAATGTGAGATGAAATGTCACTGGTGTAGGCAGCCGAAAAATGGAAGATTGCCAGGCACAACTTTCTTTGTGCAATGTGTGACACCTTCATTAACATCAGGGATTGCTAGTCTGATTAGACTTTTTGTATTAGTTTAAGCCTTTAGGCTTTCAAATGCTAGGGCCTTTTTTCTCACTGTTTTGATGTGGCAGCTCAGACCCGTCTCCATTTCCACGCAGATATTGTCTGAGGTTCAATTCTTTGTTTAAATTCTCCAACATAATACCGTGACATTGGACGTAACATCTCATTGTCTTTGTGTAGATGACGGCATTTACTGCGTCTTTGTTTCACATAATCTCGGGTCACTTTCAGCTACGGGAGCCTTGAAGGGCTAAATTCTCACACAGGGTGACGCTAATGTCCTCGACGTTCGGCGTGGCCTTTGAGCTCAATCACATAATCGAGTGGAGAGTTGGTGGAAATGTGAAATTTTCATGAACTTTTAGGTATTAGTAGAAATAGTTGAGCAAGATACAAAGATGTAGCAAGATATATACGCAGCATGACTGAAAGATAATCAGAAGGAAGAGATATACAGCTTAGCAGGACAGCATTAGAGCTGGATGCAAAAAGAAAAAAGAAAAACTGCGAACAAGATGGCCAAAAGGTGGTAAACAAGATAGTAGTAGAGTTTAATTGCAAGATCAATCAAATGCAAGATAGTTAGCTCAACTGCAAGATAGAAAGAAAGATCATCAACAAACTAGAAATCAAAATAAATTGAGCGAAAGACCGCAATGTAGCTTGGTCGAAAGATATTAGGATAAACTGGCAGCAAAATAGGGAGACAACAAGATAGCTAGCAAGATACATTGATAGTCAGATTGAAAAAAACAGTAGATGAAAGCAAATTAGCAATAAAATTGGATGCAAGATAAACACAAGAACAAACTAGATGCCAAAAAAGATGGATAGCAAGATTGCTTTGTTGCAAGATACTAGGTGGTAGGATAAAAAGCAGACAAGATATAGAGCTAGATTGAAAAGATAGAAACTGAATAAAATGCTAAAAGGAAAACAAAGTAGATAGCCAGCATGATAAAAATGTATGGCACTTTACAGTAAAATGGATCATTCACAAGATAGAAAGCAAGATAGATTGACAGCAAGATTGACCGACAGCAATGTAGCAAGATAGCTGGATGGAAAGAACGCAATATAGTTGGGCGGATATACCACAAAAGGAGCAGTGTTGTAGATCATGACAGCAAGATTGTAAAACAGCAAAATAGATATATAGCAAGATAGATTACAAGACTCTTGGACAAAAAGCAGGATAAACTTATAGTTAGAAAATGATGTTGATCAAAGATAGGTAGCAAGATAGACAATGGAAAACAAGATTGCAATAAAGCAAGATAAATACATGTAATAAGTACATGGTTGTATGGCGTTGTGGTACAACAAGATCAACTGACAAAAGAGTCTTTGCATATCTTGTTCTCTACATGAAATTCTGTCCATTTCATTTATATAAAAAACTCCTTATAGTAGCTTTAATGTAATGTTATTAGATAGATAGATAGATAGATAGATAGATAGATAGATAGATAGATAGATAGATAGATAGATAGATAGATAGATAGATAGATAGATAGATAGATAGATAGATAGATAGATAGATATCACAGTAAGGAAACTGCAGGACAGACTTATATCTCTGCACTGGTGATTAACTTTTGAGTGAACTCGGGAATACCCCTCCTCTCCTCCCCTCCCCTCTCTCTCACACTCACACACACACACACACACACACTGTGTAATGGTTGACAGGTCATCACATTGTATTCTGTGGCAATCACTCGGATGAGAACGGATGATAGGTAAGTGAAAGTTGGACCTCGGCGGCGGCTTGCATTACAGATCAGCCAACTTTTAAAACTTCATTAAAACAGAATGAAAGCACTTCCCGGCACACTTAAATTAAATCGAAATGCTTTGGGAAGAGATGATGAAAGCTAGAAGTGGGAGCTGTCTGACAATTTCAGCGCTCACATACTTTCATGGCATAAGATGATTCTTGTGTGCTGAAAGTGAATCGTAGGAATGATTGTCTCCTGAAGACCCCATCTCACAGATGTAATATAGATGTCTTGAATGAGTGACTACCTGCTGGCCTGCCTTTGTACTCATAACTTAGAATATACAGTACCTGTAGAATAAAGCTCCCACCGCAGTAGATACACCACAAGATTGCCTTCTTATGCCAACCACAGGAGGGTTAAGGAGGTGAGACTGGAGCTGGGGATCAATTTCTTTATGTCTTTATGGTTTGCTGTATAGCCGCCATTAATGGGAAATCAATCACCGCTTGTATCTTACATTTTAATAACTGGATTTCCTTTTGTTTTAAGGACTGGAACCCATACAGCATCTCCTGCAGAGCCCTCCGTCTCTGCCTGAGAGGATGTATCACAGGGCGTGACAGTTCATATTTCCTGTGGCTACTTTTCACTTTATCCACCTCGCTCGGTCAGCACTACGTTCCACATGAGAGATGGTTCAGAAATAAACACAAGGATGAGGGTCCTGAAGCCGGATCATTCACTGTCTCCCGTCCCGTGGCTGCGCTGACACGTGCGGGACTGACTGCTCAGGTGGGAGGAATTCGGCATACCTTCACAACTTTGCCACAGGTGTGTCGTTCGCCTCTCTTGTTTCGCCGTCGAGCGTTTGTCACATTAAAACCTCAGCAGCTTTGACAGTCGCACTCCTAAGAGAAGTGGAGTAATTAAAATATATCAATCACTTTTTTTTGAGCTCTTGAAAGTGTTTTTCTTCTCTTCGCGTTTGATCCGATACGCGAGGCAATAACAAAACGAACAATGAAGGCGTCATGTTAGAAAATAATCTACTTACAGGTCCAGCACTGCAGGGAAGCACTCCATCAAGAGTGAAAAATGGAAGAGTATGTCCAAGGCCTAAATGTATTCCATGGCCGGAGAATGAACCTGCAGCCCATGTGACACATGATTTACACAGGAAAAGGCCTGTGACTCTCTACAATGATAGATCTCTGCCTAAGTCTGCCTGAGCTCACTCTATGACATATAATCCTTCTCTTTTAAGTTGTAAGATAGAGATAGATAACAAAATGCTGTATTGATTTCCCTGTCTGCACACTGGCTGGCTTTTTAAGACTGCACATGTCCACGTCTGAATCTGACCACTGACAACTGTCTCTGCGGCTCATACCAACACTCTTGCTTACATTTGCATCATTGCATCAATCTGGGACGATCAATACAGACTGTTTTCATATTTTGCATGATAATTTCAGCCATCATACATGCGGTATTTCCTGTGCAGACGTCCCGTTTCGCCGCCTTTATTTCATTTTTATCTGATATCAGAGCTGATACCGCTGCTGCTATCACACTTGGACACATTTCTCTTAATAAATCTGTTCACTGTTACTATCTCATGGTATTAGTTCGCACACAAGGCTGGAGGAGGGTCATAGTTTAAATCTAGATGTTTGAGTATTTTCTTGAAAATGGCGATTTGTTCAAGTGACGGGTTAGAGTGAGACTTCAGGCTTTGTTTCCAGCTAAAAGTGCTGATCTTTGTGAACTTACGATGATGAGTGCTAAAGTAGGTGCTGCAAGAAGTAAAAAAAAAAGCAATTAGTGGACATAGGCCCTTAACAAAACATAAATGAACACAGGCCCTTAACAATGCATAAGTGGACACAGGCTATAGTATAGGCCCTTTACATAGTATAAGTGGACACAGGCCCTTAACAAAGTATAAGAGGACACAGGCCTTTAACACAGTGGAAATGAACACAGGCCCTTAACAAAGCATACATGAACACAGGTGTTTAACAAAGCATAAGTGGACATAGGCCCTAAACAAAGCGTAAGTGGACATAGGCCATGAACAAAGCACAGATGGACACAGGCTTTATTATAGGCCCTTAACATGGTATAAATGAACACAGGCCCTTAACAAAATGAGAGTGAACACAGGCCCTTAACGAAGTATAAGTGGACACAGGCCCTTAACAAGGTATAGAAGGACAAAGGGCCTTAACAGCACACAAGTGGACACAGGCCCTTAAAGTATAAGTGTACACAAGCCCTTACAGTACAAGTGGACACAGGCCCTTAACAAAGTATAAGTGGACACAGGCCCCTAACAAAGTATAAGTGGACACAGGCCCTTAACAAAGTATAAGAGGACACAGGCCCCTAACAAAGTATAAGTGGACACAGGCCCTTAACAAAGTATAAGTGGACACAGGCCCCTAACAAAAGCATTCGTGGACACAGGCCCTTAATGAGCCTTTTTGCACCCAGCACAATTAGTTTTTCTTGTTTGTTTCAGTTATTTTAAAGCTCTCTAAAACACTCCATACTTTCACCCAGATTTAACTGGATTTTTTTTTATGGTTGCACTCATGCTTTAACCATTTGAAGCTCTGTGGAGTGATATAAGCTATACAAAATATCAAATATTAACAGTTTTCTTTGATGTTTTTCTATTCAGGAGGGAATACCGTAAACATTTAGTCAGGCTTGAAACACACATGTATTTGATGTTAACATGGCTTGTTTGTTTTTGGGAAAATTCCTCAGGGCACCTTTGATTTCATGTCCATGACCTAAGAATATACACACCTTTTATATAAGTAACATGAAAGTTAAAAGTTTGTGTACCAAAACAGGCTAAAAATGACTGTATCTAAAAGATATGTTTCAAACCGGACTCAGGAACAAGATTTTAACTTTCTGATAGCGCCTGGACTTAATTTGAAATCTCTCTGTCGTCATTACATGTGTTACACTCCTCCAAACCTCTGTGCTTTCTCAGTCTGAATCTGTGTCCTCATGTGAGGCTGGAAAAGTGAGTTTCTGCAGCATGTCACGTCACATTAACACAACCTGATCCCACATTTAATTGAGTTATCTCGCTAAAAAACGCAACATGTCTAACCATATTCAGGCACTTCTGGGTCATTAGACAACACTCAGGAGGTTTTTTTTTTTTTTATTTGGGTGGGGATTTTTTAGGTTGTTGTTTTATTTCGCTGAAGGCCCGTGGACACACAGGCTGTGTTTACAGGCTGGGAGAAATAGCTTAAATCTGCTGGCGTCAATGCTGATTCATGTCAAAGTGAGTGACAGGTGACCCGAGAGCCGGCAGCCAGACAGAGAGACGGATTACAAGTGAGCAAAACGCCAACAACCTCTGGCCTGCTGTGGGGCAACAGATGACAGCAAGAGGAGGGCAAGAGGTGGAGAGCTGGGTACTCACCCCCCTCCATCTTTCCATCCATCCATCAACCCATCCCCCTCCTGGCCAGCATCCACTCACGCTGACTGATAGACAAGGGAAAATGAGAACATTCAGTTGTAAAAATAATACCGCTCTGTCAGGTGTTATGTCACATGTTACACATTCGGTGTTTTACTGCTACTGTAGCTGCATCTGGTTCGTGTTAGGACCCAAATTAGGTCGAGCTTTATTTGCTGCAGTATTTGAACAAAGCAGCAGATTGTAAAAATACTTGTCAATCAAAAAGGTCATTGCTTGTTATGCGATAGCGGCAGCTGTAATTACATTCTCGCGCAGTACAAGTGAGGAATAAGTGATTTTTGGCTTTGGGGCCGACACGCCTGCGAGTCAGGAAGTGATCTAATAATAGGGAGGTGTGAGGAGTGCAGAGGAAAGACGGAAAATGCTTCAGCAGGCCTACAAATTTATACAGTGGTAAAAAGAAAAGCGCTCATGTGCCCTTGTTGACTGCTGGCTGCAGCAGAGCCAACAAACCCTGAATTCTCCTGACGGTATCTGAGGGGTCCAAATCCAATCCCATCCAATTCCGGTTGTTAGTTTACAACGAGGACGACCTTGCACAGTTGCTGACAGTCAAATTCTTTCCAGGCTCTTTCCGCGGGTTTTATAATTCCTGTACCTCACTGGTCCACAATGTTAAAGAGGAGTATTAAAATGTTTGCAGCTGAAAGTCCGTGAAATTTAATCACTCAAAACTTCCATTATGTGCAAGAAAAATGCACCCTGTGAAAATTTATACTAGTGAAACAAAGTGATAGTAATCATCTTGTCCCCAAAATGTCCCCATCTGGGCCAATCAGCAACAAATGTGTCACTTTATTTTGAAATGTAATTTCCCCTCGGACCAATCAGTGTAATTCTAAATGCCAGACAGCAGTGGGGAGATGCATCATTTTCCAAGTTTTGTCAAAGTGGAATCAGTCATGTCTGATGTTTTGTGTTTGACACATAAATGAGCAAACAGATGTTGCACAGCTCCACTTTGGGCTCGTCTGTGTGATTCTGGAAATCTGAAAACACAGCTGTGACTTTAATCATTTTCACAAATTTCTGCAGAATCCAACAAGTCAGTTAATACTTTAGCGTTCCTCTAATAGGCAGATCAATTTCATTCGAAACAGACACTGCATCAGGAGCTTCAGAGAAAACACCAGAAGTCTTTTCTAATTTCGCCTGATTTTGGAAATTTCCCAGATTAAAGCTGCTGACGTCGATGATCTCACGTTAGCGATTGATTGATTAATTGTGCGCGATAATAAAAGGAAGTCTAAAAGTGACCAAACTGTGGAGGATCATCACCATCCTGTCAAAGGTCAAACCACTTATCTCCTGAAGTTGAACCAAAACTGAGTCTCACTGGTTCTCGCAGAAAACGGCAGTCGGCTGCTATCTTGTTTCTCTCAGCTCAGTTTATCTTTGAAGTAACGTTTAAAGCCCTCTTGTCTCACACACACTGGCGCTCTGCGGCTTTAAAAAGTCGTGTTTCTGTTGGACAAAGTCTGAGGAGAAGTGACTGGGGTTCGGTTTGCTCTCTGGGTCCTGATAGGGTTTGTGTGTGTCTCTGTTGTTCACACAGTCCACAGTGTGAGATTAAGCCTTGAGGATCACTGACACACTTGTGGACCACCTGCAGCCGGTCACTACTTTCTTCAGTGGCGGAGTCAGAGGGTGGCCAGAGGTGACGAGACAAAAACACAAAGACTTTCATTTTTGTTGTTCTGCTTTTCATTGGCATCCTTGACGTATCCATAAGATAACAGCAGCACCTGAATCCAGATTTTATTCTCACTAAATCTCAACTTTAACACTAACAAAACTTAGAGCATGTTGCGTAGGGTGACCATATTCTGACTTCCCAAAAAGAGGACACGGATACGCGGGGGCGGAGTCACGGTGTTGCACAAAGTTAATTTTAAGCGTTTTTCGGTTCGGCTGGAGTGTCTTACGCGCTTCTAACAACGAAAACTTGCATACAAAACCGTCAACATTTGAAGGAAAAGAGGACATGTTGGGGCAAAAGAGGACGTTTGGTCACCATAATGTTGCTGTTTGTTGCATCTCTGTGTCCGTTTTCTTCAATTTTGGTGGATGTCTCTCTCTCAGCTCCGTTTTATTTTTTTATTTCACTAGTTTCTGTTTCTGAGTTTGTTCGTCCTCAACCACTGCTGACTCCCTTACTTGTACACATCACAATTGAGGCAACAGCTGAAGTTCCATGTGACGTTTTCCATTATACTGTTGCTAGGATACGAACTCAACATCCCGAGGAGACTTCAACCATGACAGCCTGACTGGATTTCCTCAGTTTGATCTGCTGTCCTCCAAGTCCTCCACTATAGAGCTACACTCAGGTAAAGAAGTAGGGCTGGGCGATGTGGCCTCAAATATATATTGATCAGTTCACCTCGATAATGATAAATGGACGATAACTACTCCACAAGCTGCTCACCCCCTCCCACATTAACTTTGTCTACTTCAGACGCTCCAACTTTTGAACCGTCCTCCATCTCCTCACCTGTCTTTCCCTCTTTGTTACGGACTGGATGGGGTGGAGTCACGTCTCTGATGTAGGACAGCGTCTCAAAGGGACATGAGACCATAGCCTACCTACACATATCCAAAAAAAAACTTTGATTTATTTAATTTTTTGACACAGAATAAACCGATATGGGCAAAATGATGTCAGTTATTGTTATAAATTTCTGTATCGGTAAATATTTCGGTTTATCGACCAGCCCTATAAAGAAGCGCTAGAAAATTCTGTTTTTTTTATTTTTATTTTTTTGGTTGAATAAATATAAAATCTAAAGGTTTTGGCTCTCGTCTATTTTCCTTATTTTCAAAACATAACTTTTATAAAACTCTGATTTAAGTCCAAAACCAAAAGTTGCAAATCATTAAACACAGAATGCGAATAGACGACCGAAACTTGATTTATCCAGTGAGTCTAACAGACATCTGCTTCTCATCTGCCCAATATGTTTGCAGATATCATCTTGATTTACAGCTCATCCACGGATTATTCACAGCACAGTCCTGTTAAATGACTTGCACATGTTCTTACTCCTGCATTAAAGCCTCCTAATAAACTCAGGTGTCGCCCTCGTCTCTCCGCCGTTTGCATTCGCTCTGTGAGTCCGGAGAAGCTTCGGAGGAATCTAGTGTGCAGGAATCAGAGCAGGCGTCCGTGATTGTGCTGACGTCTGCAGGGGGCTCGGCTGGAGATTAAGCCCAATAAAAATGTGTGATTTGTTGCTTTCATATTTGGAGGATGTCAGCTTCAATTTGAGCTAGCACGCTGCCCTGAGGCAGGCTGGGTGACAAATATGAAGGATGCACTGATGAACTGCTGGCAATCAAGTGTTAGTTCCCCCATCCACTATATGATGGCAATGAAAAGCTGCACACATTGTTACACACAGAGGCTTGGCATCACTTTTTAGACGTCATAAAACATAAATCAGATATGAAAATAAGCAAATTGGATTTATTCCTCATGTTGTCATCAATCTATTATTCATCTTATGTTTTTTTCAGTCTAACCTAAAGCACTATTACACCGCTTTGAAATTAGTCTTACTGAGAATTATAATTTAAAAACTGTTTTTATTTTAAAGGTGAATAAAACTCAAATAAAAACTTAAAGCTCCTGTGAGGAACTTTTGGTCTGTGTTGTTTTTGGCGCCTCCTGTGGACAAAAAATTAAAAAGAAATAGTCAGTCCTATTTCTGATAATCTCCTTTACTTTTAGAGGTCATAAAGAGGGATAACTGTTAATTTTAGTATGTTTTAAAACCAGGTCAAAACTCCTCACAGGAGCTTTAACTTGCATTATCTTGTTACAGGTCAGGTGGGGATGTTTTGATCGATTATTGTCATACATTCCAACTAAAATTAGCTTGTTTTCAACTTTAGACACAACAAACGTAAGACCAACTTTAACATTAATTCAAACTATAATGCTATTTTAACATTTAAACCTGCACTTATTGTTTACAACGCGTAAGAAATTTAGCTAGTTTATGTAAGACGCAGAGCAGATTATGACGACATATAACCTTAACATATTTCAGCTTGTGTATTTAACCAGCAAAGTAAATCAATTATTTTATTGGTGCTTTATTGATCTTTGATCATTTTAATGCCCTTTTAATTTTAGTGCTTTTTTATGCTAGGGCCATTTTTCTTCATTTTTGTATTTCAAGAGGATAATGTGTTGCATTTCTAGGGCTGTTTTTACAAGTGGTGCGTTTTCTTAAAGCTCCTGTGAGGGATTTTTGTTTTACGTTTTTGGCGCCCCCTGCAGGCTAAACTTGCTGAAGTAGTATCTTTTGGAAAAATATCTCTTATGACAGTCAAACACATCATTTTTGTGAATATTTTATGTGTGAATTGTAAAAACAGAGCATCTTTGGTGGCTTAACTGACGCCTACCCCCCTCACACCAACTTCAGACATTAAAAATCACAGTATGAATGTCGTCAGTCTTTACACTGATGCTCTTATTTGCTTTTGTACATCAAAAAAAGTGTCAATATGAATTTTAGTTTAATCCATAGGTGTCAAAAAATTCCTCACAGGAGCTTTAAAATGTTCAATTTTGCCGAGTTGGTAAAAAAAAAAGGTGCAAAAATCTGGAAAATTTCAGGAGGTTTTCACCAGTTTTAAGTGAGTGTTAATAAAAGCCTCAGACTCATTTACATTCATGAACTAAAGAGGCGATGCATGCTTAACTTTAGTCCCACTTCTATTGGTTCCTGTGAATTTGACTGCCTCTATTTCAGTGTTTAGTCAAAGCTCGTCTCACCGGTAAGGTACAAAATTAATCAATACTCTGTTCTGGAGCGAGGTTGTTGTGAGTATCTGTAATTAATAAAAAAAAGTGGAGGAAATATTAAAAAGCCAAATCTAAAAGGGGTTGGATCATGTTGACGTTATCAGACGGAGCAGACTGTTTGAGATTCTGAAAGTTTGAAAACGCCTCATGCATTATAAGTGAAGCACTACCCCGAGTTCCCCGAGTTTAATCCTTTCTGCAAGTGCTTCATCAACCTTCAGCTTTTTTGACAAGACAGAAGTTTCAGCATGTATGATTAATAAGATACAAATGTGCAACTGATATTTGATAAATGGCTTTGGTTTCATATTCATGATGTACAATGAATATGCAGCACCAGGGGCTTAGGCCTACTTGATTGATCAAATGTATTCCATTCATCACTTATTTTTGCTTAATTAGCATATTTGAAGCAACACCATTAACAGCGGAGGACTATGGGCTATTTGGAAGATATGATGTATGTAGGGGAGCAGACATACATGCATTCCTCTTTGTCTTGTAGAGCTCAGATTCTCAGGGGGCAGAATTCATTAGAAAGAATATGTTACAGCTGCGTTTAGGTGCATCATTTTTCATGTCTTACGTGTTACAAGTATTTGCTTTTGCACATCTTTTTTGAGCGGTAAATCTGCACCAGAAGACTGCAGGTGAGACACACAGACTCACGCATACGCCATGCAGTCCTGATGCCTGTGTGAAAAAGACGTGAAGCTCTTTTCTGGGAGATTTCTCACAGGGACGTAATAACCTGAGGACTTTGGGGAGGATAAATGGGAGAAAAGGGAGTTAGGATGTGGGTCATTATAGCTATAAGTTCTAAAGCCCTTCATTAAACACATGAGCTAGTCATTACCCTGCTGCTGTGTGATGAACATTTTGAACCCTGCTTCCCCTCCTCCTCCTCCTCCTCCTCCTCTTCCTCTTCTGGTTTACAGGCCAGATGATGCAGAGAATCCGTGCTCGTCTGGCGCAGGGGCGAAGCAAAGTCAGGGCCCAGTGTAAATGTTTTGTGTGTATCCAAGCAGGCAAATTCTGATGCACATTTGCCCTATTACGGCACATCAGCGTCAGCCAGACGCACGCGAGTGCGAGCAAGCGGCGTACACTTATCATTATTTGATAGCATGTTTAATGACAGATTGACAAAGGATTTGCAAACGCGAGCTGGCGTCAATTCTGCTAAGGTCGGGTTTTACTGCGGCTGCAATGCATGTGTACTTATGTGCATAATTTGATTTTTCAACTAAGCTATTAGATCTGTTTTAGAGAGCGAGTCAACGCTGGGGAAGATGCGGCACTTGTGATGTTTTGAGTCAGACAGAGAGACGTTTCAGAGCCAGACTTTAGTCCAGATCATGATACTAATAGAAGAAAGAGTCAATAATAAACACGAAGGCTTTGGAAGGTCATAATTAAACAAATCATCTCAGGTTATCTTTAAATACATCCACCCCTTTCCTTTAACTGTTTATTTATATGAGTTTAAAATCAAGCTCGTGCGTCCGCCTCTCTCCCTCTCTGTGTGTGTCTACGCATGCATGTGTGTAATTGCAGAAATCTGTGTTCTATAATTAGCCGTGGCATGTTGGATATTCGCAGTGATTAACTGTGTTAATATGCAAACATCCAAAATGAATTAATACCGAGCTTCAGAGAGAATTAGCGGTTTATTTTACTTCATCACCTGCGCTGTGTTACCTCAAGTATTATCAGTATTTAATCATAACTCAGGTATTCTTATCCAAGAGTGTCGCGTTTGTGTTTTGACTTCCTGATTCAGCACCTTTAATTCATCCCCTGATTGCATAAGAATCGTACAAAGTTCGCCTTGAATTTACGGCTATATGGCGGTTTTGTTTACTAACAATAAATCTCACGCTGACTTTGATTTATTCCAACAAATTATGGTCAAAGACATCTAATTTCCGTCTGTGATTGCACTGATGAGAGCATTTTTCTTTGGTTAGCTCTGGATGAACTCCACAACATCAGACGCAGAATACTGAGCGCGCTCTATAGACACAAGGATCCTGGTTGTGAGCCACATCCTGGTTCTGATTATATACTGGATTACTGCACACAAACAGATCCCTGTACTCATGATTAAGACTCCTTGTTTCTGATTTGTGCGCCTTATTTGCACAGGTGTCTCTGATGTTTATGCTCGATCTTTATAATCTGATAAAAGTGAGACCGTACAGGTTTAAACCAGATTTATAATCCTGTTTTGAAGTCCATATAACTTATGCAGAAGCCTACATACCTAGTCAGACATTTACCACCTTTAATATATAACTACACGTTAAAACAACATAGACTGCGAGCCCTGTTCTCAAGGGTCACAGTGGCTTCCTGTGCAAAAACAAGCAGAGAACGTCTCATCGCCAACTAGTGTTTGGGAAGAGTACTGCAAAGTGACGCAGACGCGCCACTGCACCAGTATGTAGCGCTCTTGACAACGCTGGCCATCATGGCGGATATCTCTAAATAAGGCTCTGGGAGTTGCAAATATATCAACTAAAAGACGAAACTCAGACTCCTCATCGATCCAGATGAAAGACATCATCTTCGCCAACGCCATGTTTGTTTTCCTGATTGATCGCTTGACTGAGGTCGCACATATTTAAACGCCTGACAGCTTTTTTTCGACAGTTTGAATCTGAGAACATTTGTCTCCTTTCCCGTGTTGTATATCACATTGAAGGGAACTTCTAAGCACATGAACCGGTAGCGAAAGAGTTGGTGCAACAATGACGGTATGCTGTTCAGGGCTGGGCGATAAACAGAAAAAATTTACAGATACCGAAATTAAAAGTAAAAAAGTACTGTATTTTTCGCACTATAAGGCGCATTTAAAATCCTTTTGGCTTGTCGGAGCGCTGCTGCTACTTCTTCTAATCTTCTAATCAGCTGATCTTATGCTGTGATAGTCAGATTTACGACTCGGAAAGTTGGACGATCCTCACCAACATTGACTTTATGACGTAATGTTTCAAGATGGCAGCGCAGTGCATCAACAGTAAAGACTAACAGTAAGAGCTCTCGTAATGTTTTATTTATCAGCACTTCTGTTTTGTTTTCGTGAAATTAAATAAGTGCTCATTGTCCTACGTCTAATTGTGAACACAGTGTTATGGTGTTTGTAAGAGTAAAATACGTGTTACGCATTGTTTACAACTGGCATAGCTAACAACAACTAACAACAGATGACAACAACTAACAATAACTGACAAACACTAACAACAACTGGCAATGGCAAACGACAGCGGACTATTGTAATCAACAGCTAACAACGGGTAACTGTAGGCGTCCATTTTGGTTTTCTGACTTGTTAATTGGAATGCCGTCAACTCAGGTGTAACGTCATTCCCAGCTCCGACATCCAAGGTAACTGGAATGCAGCATTAGAGTTAGCATCTTTGTTAACAGATTACCGCCTACCTCTGGGGTTTAAGGCTTAAACATGCCGCAGTACTCTGGTTCTCCGGATAGAAGCGGAGTGTCTCAAAACTGCGGTAAGGCCTTATCCCAGTTTGTGAAATTAGAATATAATGTTTACAAGCACAAGCACAAAGCAGGGCAGTTCAAAAGCCAATCAAATCTGGGATCTTCGAGTCTAAAACCAGCAGAGAAATGAGGTTAATTGATGCAGATTTCCATCATAAATGCATGCACACGAGGTCCCATTTTTTCATAAGTTAAAAGCAAAGAGTCTCCCTTAAAACTGCACTCAGTAACAGGACCGGTAATGCTCTTTTTTAAAAGCACTCTGCAGCATCTTAAGGACAATGGCAGCCTCCATTTAGAATAAGTTGCTCCTCTAAAGCATAATGGCCCTACAGACAAATCAGAGATCCATCGGCGAAGAAAGGCACTAAATAATTTATAGCTTTAATCTGCTCACTGAGGTGTGTGGTCTTTGACAGTAATTATAAATGCAGGGAGAAATTATAGCTGAATACTTTAACTGCATTAGGAGTCATCTGATGAACAACGTGATTGCCTGCTCATTTCCAACAATAGGGGGCAAGTTGGTGTCACAGCATTCAAATCACCACAGTGCCCATGTGCTTTTTCCCATTTACCATCAAATGTCAGTCGGCCGTTATAAAAAAGGGATTTGATGGGTGGAGGTAATTGAGGACTTGATTGCTTGAAAAGAGATGAATTGCATAAAATGTTTATGAATTTAGGAGGCAATTATTTTTAATAGCCTTGAAATAATAGAGCTGGAGGAAATATGTTTAATTGTTATGATACCATCTTGCAGCAACAGCAGCCGCGCTCACAGGAAAGCAATAAAGTCTGACAAGAAGATGTATCTGTGAGGTGTATCTAAGAGTCATAAGGTAAAAAGAGAGGATGCAGTGTACTGTACGGAGGGAGGATGCTCAACCTGTGTACTCAGAGGTAGAGGACGGGTGGAAAACCAAAGAGGGACACCGTTAGCTCAGATCAGCTGACTGGAAACATTCATTTCTGATGCTACAATTAAACCACAATAATCTGTTATTTTAATTGTGCATTTACCTGAGGTGAATGCACAATTTAGCTGAGTTTGTCACTGACCTAAATAAAGCGTTTTGGGTAAATAATGGCAGAGTTTTTGCGTGGGTGACTTCTGTAAATTTTCCTAATAAAAAAAAAAAAGCTCGTCAAGAGATAATTCTCACAAACTAGATGAATTAACAGACCTTAATTCTGTCTGTTTTTGGTGTTGATTCTGTCAGTAAAGGACCACAAGTTGAAGTCAAACCGGGGCCTCTTATTTTAAGGACTATAGACCCTTTTAGGGACCATGAAATGAAGCTAAACTTGAGTAAAAGTAGGATGACCATATTCTGAATCTCCAAAAAAAGGACACGACTATGCGGGGAGAAGTCAAGGAGTCACGTGTAGTAAATTTAAGAGTTTTTCAGGTTGGGTTGAATGTTTTTTATGCACTTTTAACTCAGTTAGTCAGCAAGGCAAAATCGAAACTTCAATGCAAAACCCCTAGGATGGTAGGAGAAGGTCCCACTCTCCTTCGCCTCTGATTGGCTACAAGTGTTGGGCTCTGATTGGTTATTTCTAATGGCTGTGAAAGATCATCGTCTGTCGGGTTAGTGTTAGGAGATTCAGAAGTGCGATAATGTTCTGTAATGTTCTGTTCGATGTACACAGCCGACAGCCTGTGTTTGGCTCGAGCGTGTGATGACGTTTCCAGCTTTTCTAACCAATCAGAGGCTGCCACTTCCACAAGGTTGCAGGCATCAGGAATCTTAACTGTCCTCCTCTGTGTTGTTGGGTGCCAGAATACAGGAACTAATTGTCATAGATTGAAGCTAATATTCAACGATATATCAACCACAACGCCTGTCAACCAAAACAAAGACATGATAAGACAAAAACACTCTTCATACAAGTGAAACTTTCAGTCCTGAACAGTAAATCCTTCCTAGCTAGTGCTAATTAATGTTTAAGTGCAGATCATAAGCCCCGCCCACCCCAAACTGTCAATAACACAAAAAAATGGAGTTTCTGTTCAACTAAGCAGCCAAACCAGCTTCTCTAGGGTTGGGCTATAATATGAGCATTTGATTTAAAATCTTAAAGCTCCTGTGAGGATTTTTTTTAACTTTATAAAATAGCCTCAAATTTGTTTTGATGCCTTTTTATGACATATAAAAACAAATTAAACCCTTAGAATTAAGATTGATAATTTTGAAAATGTGATTTTTGATGTCTGAAAGTGGTGTGAGGGGGTAGTTGTCAGCTTTGCAGGTTAGAAACAGCCATCTTTTTTTAATTTCTGCATAATATATCCAAAATAAATGATAAATCTGACGGTCAAAACTCAAGAGGGCGAGTCAAAAGTTCCTCACAGGAGCTTTAAGATGTTGATCCATTTCATCAGACACTCCAACATGAAATAAAAGATCTACAAACTGTTATCAAATGTTAACTCTTTATTTGAATAAGTAAAAAAAGGTGCAGGTATCACAGGTATCGTCTGTCTTGCTGTTTTCCTCGTTGCATGAAACGCACTGTTTGTTTTTTTTCTTCTAAAATATATTTACATGTGAAATATCCTAATCCTTTTTTTTTTTTGAGTCATGTACAGAATCCAACTCTAAACTGGTGATTAAACATTTATTAAAGTGCTTTTTTTTCTTTCTTCTATCATTGCAACACAAAACATCTTTACATAGCAATACACTGTACAGGTCTGCGTGTGTGTTCTCATGTGTTGGGCTACCTGTTTGGACAGCTGCACGGTTCTGCAGGTGGACTGTATCACAGAGGTTGTAAAGTACAATTAGTTTATTATTTTGTCTTTGAAATACAATTGAAACTTGACATATCATACAAATAAATAGTAGTCATAGCCAGGGCTATTGCATGCAAACATCAGCATTTTATGTTTCTTCAAGCAGTAATACATTTCATTACTGGTGATGCATTTGAGCAGGGTGCAAAAGTATCTCTTAGTGTTTCCTTATACAGCTTTTCTAACCAGTGTGTCTTCGCTGAACTCCATGAAATGTCGGAAAAATGATGCACACGACACAATGCTAATTGAAAAAATGGCTGAAATCTCGGACCCGTGTGTTGAAATCATAAAAAAAGGAGAAAAGTGACAATAATATGAAAACTAGTCTTTGTCCATTTCCACGTACTGTGAATGGTTGTCGGGGGATTTGCTGTGAGTTTTACTCAAATGGAGTTTGACCGCGTGATTGCTCGCAAATGTCCGACAGCAGAGCTTACATTTGAACTTTGAGTCAATGTCCTCCTCCGCGACTAGACCCTCCGTGGCTCTGACACTGAGGGCCTTCGACAGTTCTGGCTCCTCCACCTTCGTCTGGTGCTCCACCGGCATTTTGCACATGTCTTTAATTTGGAACCCGAGATGGGATTCCAGATGGGAAATGAATGCGGCGGGGGACCTAAACTGGGAAGCGCAGTCATTGCAGTAGAAGACCGGGTGGCCCGTGTCCATGTTCTTCAGGAATTTGGTCCCTCCGGTTTTCCGCAGCTGGTACTTTACGTTGGCTAACCAATGGCTTATGGTGGTCATGGAGAGTCCTGTGAACTTGGAGATGTGCATCCGTTCCTGAGGGCCGAGGTCCGAGAGTAAGTACTTCCCCTCAGAGGTCTGGAAGAGGCTGGAGGCGAACTGGGCCTGCAGGATGAGGAGATGGCGAGGATTCCAGTTGGACTGTCGACCTTTGCGCTTGTGGACTGAGTAGACCTCGGCGGATACGTCCTCGAACCGCCTGACGTCAGATTCCAGTTTCATGGTCGGGATCCTGGACGGGAGGGAGGGTTTTGGCGTCGTGGCTTTCGGGAGAACTTTGACCATATCTGCGATGTCAGACAGGGCGTATTTTTGCGGTATCGGGGTCGACGGCTGCAGGAGCGAGGTGGTCGCCTTGCTGTGTTTGGATTTCGTTAGATCTATCGGTTGGTCGTCGCTGGAGAAAAGGAAGGCGTTTCCGGGCCTGTTCCTCATCGCGTTCCCCAGCATTAGAGCCGGTTTCTCGCCGCTGCGTTTAATGTCAGGGTAAATAGACTTGGAGTGAGCAGATAGCTGGTCCGCTCTGGAGTTATTGGGCTTATTTGCTTTGCCCAGATGATTGTTGAGGACTGACTGCAGCGCGCTGAGAGGGTTGATGCTGAGCAGAGCTGCAGTGTCACCGAGCGGCTCTGAAGTAGCGCCGCGTCCATTGCTGGCAGAGGGACTCGGTGTCTTGCCTCTGTCAGAGAAATCTGGGCTCAACTTCCCTTTGATCGCCTCGCTCCCTTCATTCATACAGTCTGCGTCGAGCTTTGAAGAGGAAGAGGAATCATCCTGACAATCGCTGTCATCGTTCTCCGCCAGATCAAACTTAATATTCTGACTTTCTTTACCGTCGCTAATGCCAACCTTTTCTTTTTTGATGTCCGCATTTTGATGCTGTCCCTGGGGAGCCTCCACTCCCACAGCACCAGGGTACAACTTCCCCTTAGGGGCAATCGGTCTCAGCTTGTGGTTAAATGTCTGCTTTAGCTGAGCGGGGGGAGACGCGGAGAGAGGGGCGCTTTTGATGATGCCAGAGAGCTGATAGGCGGCGTGAATGCTCGGGTAGGCACTCCAGCTTGGCGTCCCTGTTTGAGCTTTATTGATGGCAGAGGCCACTGTGTTGGCTAAAGATTTAAGGATGTCCCCTCCTCCTCCTGAGTCTTGTTCAAGATCCTCCTCACGGAGATAAGGGTACTTAAAGGCCCCATTGGCTGCCTTTTGATCCTCGCTCTCCTGCTTGTCATCTTTAGTTTCAGTTTCTTCCATTTTGTCCGATGTGCCTTCCCCCTGGCTATCCTTCTCGCTGCTCCCCGGGGACGCGGATTTGGGGGAGACTTTCTCTCCTTCTGTGTCGCTGGCAGCAGGATCGGCTAAAACCTGCATCTTCTCTATGGCCAGAGGATCGAGCGCTAACTGTTTACCCTTTTTAGAGGCCGAGTTTGTGACTTTGATGAAGTGTCCGGTGACCATCATGTGTGTGGTGAGCTGCTGAAGGGTGTCGTGGGAGCTCCCGCACTCCATGCATTTGAGAATCTGAGACTTGCACGTCTCAAACTGCCAGGTGTAACTCGCTCCGTTCTGATAGCCGTATCGATTATTGTTAGCGTTTGAAATGGAGGCGGCCCGCTGCGCCTCGGTGTAGCCGGATACGCCGGTGGTCGAGTCGGGGGAGCAGGGTCTCACCGTTTCAAAGGCCCGTTTCTTCGCTGGAGGCAACAGCTTGGGCGTGATGACTGGGATGGGCTCTTTTAAAGGCACTTTTTGGTAATGTTTAGTTTTGATCATATGAACGCTCAAATCCTGCAGAGAGTCGAATGAGTGGCCGCAGAACATGCACTTCAAAACTTTCTGCGCGTCCTCTTTCCCCTCCATATCCTGCAGGTTTCTCTTCCTCGACTTGGAGGACGAGGCGGTGGAGTTGCTCTGTTTGCTGTGGTTGTTGTCCTGGTAGTGTCCGCTCTTGTTCATGTGGACCGTCAGCTCCACCAGAGTGTCGTAAGCGGCGCTACAGTCCTTACAGCGGAAGCGGCTGGCGCCCGTGAACACCGAGCCGCAGGGCTTGGTGGTTTGTCTGTACAGATGGACAGAGCTGAAGAGGTTGGGTTTGGACGCCGGTTTCGGGGAGAGCGTCTGCTGTAAGGTCTTGGAGAGAGCGTCCTGGTGCCAGTCGAACTCGCTCTTGGTGCTGCCGTTGGTGCTGTCACAGTTGGCTTTGCTGGTGTTTTTGCCCATTTTTAAGTCCATCCCGATCCCTGTCCAGTAGGAATCAGAGAGGAAGTTTGCATAGGCCGCCCTCATCTTCTCCAAGCTGCCGCCCGTCTCCTCTTTATGTTTGGAGCCGCGGCTTTCCTCATCCCGCTGGCTCTCAGGTGGCGAGGAGGTTTTGAAGTCGGAGAGTCTGTCGCTGCTGTCGCTGAGGCGGGACTCCAACTCGGCCTCCTGATTAGAAAGGACACTAATGGGAGAGTTCTGGTTGCTATAAGTGTTGGTGCTCTTGTTGTCGAGCTCTCTGTCCTCAGACACTTTAGGGCTGGTCTTCTCTGAGCACTCCTCCTCGGTTTGAGTGTCGTTGTCCACGTCTTCCTCGGCGATGGGATCCTGGAGAGCGCCGTCTTCGTCCGGCATGTACACTAGAAAAACAAAACACGAAAAGGAGGTTAATGTCATTGAAAAAACAGAAGTTTAACAGAGTTTTTAAATTATTTACAGATTATATTAAACTGAATATAGAACAAAGACAATAGCGAGAAATGTTGATTAAAAAGCTCCTGAAGGAAAATCATCTAATTTTATAAATCTGTAATAGTTTAGGAACAGGATTGTGTGTCTAAAGGTTACACAGAAGTACAAATATGAGAAGGTTCACTACTCTGTTAGAGACTGTGTGAGCAAATAGTTCTACAACTTCAGTATTTCAGTTAAGGATTTCATCGACTACAATATCCTCGAAAGATCCAGAGAAATCTGAAACCATCTATAAAAGACAAAGCAGAAAACCAACAACAACAACACTGCCTTAAAAACACACATGACTCTGTTGTGGGAATGACTGCGTTGGCTTAAAATCACTTCAAAATAAAGGTTTAAGCAGCAACAGAGGAGTCTGATTGTTAATGTGATCTAGGCTGAAGTCTCTTCAAAGACCCGCTTCGATAAAAATTGTGTTTTTCTTGTTGTCTACATGTTCATATGTTCATTTTTCTGATGCTACAGGACATATCATGAGAAAAAAAAGAGTATTTCTGTCTTCAAAATGCTGTGAATCTCTGAAAAACCCAAAAGGCAGGTTTAGATACAGTGAGATTTCCTATGTCACAAGTCCAAGCTCCGCCCCCGGAGCCCCGCTATGCAGGCCAGACTTGGAGAAGTAGAGAGGACGATCACAGAACAAGCGTGTGTGTTAGCGGACTGCAGCGCTCGTAAAAAAGCTAATTAGAAAGCTAATTATTATTAACTTTAATCATGTCCCCAAAGACATTAGTGTCCGAGAGCTGAATAGCTCCTGTGTTACCTGCTACTTCTACTACACCGGCAATGTTAGGCTACGAGCTAGCATAAAGACGAGTGTTCAGAGCAGCGCTGTCTACTGGAGCTCTGCAGAAGAAAAGCCCTTAAAAATGACACAGGTAACGGGATTTTGGCTAAAAACTTCTTAATCACAATTTAAAGACCACTGAGAACATTTTAAGGAGTAAAAAAAACTATCAGAGTGGGACTTTAAAACGAGGTAAAGTGGAGAACTGACAGATTAATTCGATTTGACTTTCTTTTTGGACATCTTGGACACTATTTGCTTCACTCTAAAGAAAAGGGGGACCACTGTAACATACATGCCTTATATAATTCTACAACATTTTGCATGTATGACAACAGCATGGCTCTGTAGTAGAGGAGTACAAAGACTGAAACCCTGGACTGTTGAGCTGCTGAAATCCTGTATCAGACACTGATCTCCTTGGTTTCCAAAAACTCACAGACATGAGTTCATACTTTCACGAGAAAATAACATTTTCCAGTTTGAACTTTTGATCTGTTGTTGTCGATGCGTGATTCTTTTCGTATTAACATTTCATACAGCGTCCCGACATGTTCTTTTTTTGTTAGGGCTGCATATTCTTTCACAGCGCCCATTTAAGGCGACATAATGGCGGCTGCTTTGTGCCCTGAGAGAGCGGAGACTATAGCGGGACATAATGTCTTTACTAACAGACTGCTGCTGGTGTAACAGCGCCATGTGATTCACGACAGGCCATTGACTTAGTGCTGTGTCCAAGGTTTTTCTGGCCTCAAGTTGAGATGTTTACAACAATCATTGGCCGCTGAGTGACAAAACGAAATTGATTCTTCTGGGGGCCTGTTAAGTGTTATTGTAAATGACCTATTCCACAGTGATTATGGACGCCTCAAAACTGCAATGAAAATGAAAGCTCTCTGCTCTTGGTAGCACCTCTGCTTCCCTCAAGCTAAACGTGAGGAATGGCTTTACACAAACTCGGACGTTTTAATGTCCCGCATTGCTTCATCAATAAATAAAAGGGCATGACTGAAAAGATGAGAAAGCAATACTTGAGGGGAAACATTTAGCTAAATAAAATAAGTTGCAGATGTGAACGCTGATGCTGATGAAGACGTTAATCACGTTGGCGGAGAAATCCGGCTCAATTATCAGCATTAAAACTCGACAATTATGAAAAAAATATCAAAAAAATTACTGGCAATCTGTCACATCGTTATATTTTCCCTGACAGTCTCATAAACAGCAATTACTTCTTTCATTATTCACCTGTTCGGTCTCCTCACTCATAGCGCACAAACATTATTGCTTCAATTAACAGATAATTAAACAACAGTATTTCTAATTGACATATTTCCCATCATCCAATTAGACGAAGCTCTGACTCAGCAAAGAGGGGAGTTGCATGTGGCTGCAGGGTCCGCTCCGCATGATATGAACGCAGCTGCGTAAAGATTAAAGCGTCCTCTCTGACAACGACTGTTTCAGATTATTTTACATCTAACCATCCGGGGAAAAAAAACCCACGCAACAATATCACAACCAGCGTTTGCGTATCTTTCTGAAGGCATCCCGACATAAATGCAGTTTGTCAGTGTTGTCACATATCGGAGATATTTTCCGCCTCGAAAATGTGCATTTTGGGAGAGACGTGGCAGATGTGCTGGGAGTTAAATATGAATAGGACATAACAGGCCTGTTCAGGCACTTGTGCATTTCTCCTGGTTAATATTTCTTCTCTGAATAGAGGGCACTCCATGAGGGCTTGGCTGAAGCCGAGCACTCAGGAGTCCCACACTGGGCGGCCCATAGAATGTCTTCGCCGTCTTCGCCGTCTGAAAATAAGACTTTTTTTGTATCAATATTTCACAAGTGCCTCAAGAGAAACCCTGGAGGTGAATTGCCTGCCAGCTAATGGACGGAGATGGAGATGGGACTCGGACTTTCAAAACAAACATGGAGAATGGGGCCTGGTGAACAAGAGCCTCGCACACACACATATACACACTCTAACGCTCGCACACTCGCACCCGAGAGCCCCGATGTGCTGTGACCTTGATTCACCGCAAGAGGGGTGTTTTGATTGGCCGACCGAGATCAGTGATGGCCTCCAAAACACCCTTGATGCTGAGGGAGAGAGTTGTCAAGAGCACAGAGGTATGTTTTATTTATAGTCTTATATATAGTATTCACAGTGAAGGAGAACACCAATGGCTATGACAAGCTCTCGGTTGATGTCCTCTCTCTTCAAAGTCGTCACTAAAAAAAAAGTGCAGCACTGGGAGGGAACGTGCGGCAAAGTGGGATGATGGGTATTTTTCCAGTCCGGTAATGGTTTGGATAGAAATGGCTCACACCACAGCATGAGAGCTACTTCTTGAAAATTTGATGTGGCTTAAAATCACCGATATGTGAAGTTTGGTCGCACCAAGCCTATTAAGAAGATAAGTGTGCGACTCCACGGCACTAAGATTTCAATTTTGATGCAGTTTTTGTATTTTATCGTTTATTTTTGAGGTTATAACTGACGGAGATTAACAGCCGCCCTCCCCGCTGTTTCTCTCGGTCCCATCAGATGCCCCAAGAAGCAGACATCCAGAGGCACCAATTAACCTTCTGGCTGGGATCACTCCGAGATACCCGCGTGGTCGAACTCGACTTCCCGCACCATTTGTAACGACGCTTCGCCGGCTCTCGGTCTACCGCAGTAGTGCAGCCATGCCAAACCGCATTACTCTTCATACGAGATCAGATTCAAGGACGACGCCGCAACTTCACCCAACACGAAGAGTAAACTTTGATGTTTCAGCAGTTAGGATGCTATCAACCGCAATAAAATGGTTTATTTTTCAGTGTTTATGAGCAAAACAACGGGCGTAAAATCAAAGTAGGATGTCGAATTTCCAATAAACTACTTTTTAAAAATACGTATGATAAATTTCCAAAGTGCAGGATAGAAACAACAAAAACAGATCTAAAGTCAAATTTCTACAAAGTTAAAAAAGAAAGAAGAAATAAAGACAAAAGACAGTATTTTCTGATTGTGTTGTTTTCTAATAGAGTTAAAGCTCCTGTGAGGAGTTTTTTTGACATTTATTAAAGAGGCTGAAATTCAATTTTTTTGTCTTTTATGATACACAAAGGCAAAAAAGACCATCAGCTACAGGACTGATCATTTTTATATCATAATTTTAAAGCCTAAATGCAGAGTGAGGGGTAGGAAACAGCCCTGTTTTTACAGTATTCACAAAAAATTAAACATTTGACTAGTAAAAGTCAGCAGGATTTAAATGACTGTTTAAAAAATAAGAAAATATTATTGCCCACAGGGGGCGCCAAACTCGAAGCAAGCTGAGGGTTCCTAAGAGGAGCTTTAATGTGGGAATACCTCTACACAAACTTGCATGAAGTTGTTGGATTTTGATTTTTTGCTGCAGTTGTTCTCCATCCTGATTTTAAATTACGGTTAGATAAAAGCGCAAATGCTTTTTTATGCAACTAAAACGCTTTTATCTGCGTCCACATTTATTTTTATTTAAAAATGATATTTTTTAGAGCCAACACCTCAAAAGGAAACACATTTTTAAGATTTGTTGATATTTTTTACACTCTTAAAGCTCCTGTGAGAAACTTTCTACTTGACTCTAATACAATAATTTTATCAAATGTGTCAAATTAATTATTTATTGTGATCTACAAAGAAATTATAAGAGCAGGGCTGACACCTAACCCCCTAACACCAGTTTAAACATTAAAATAAACATTAAAATAATCATCAATCATGTTGCTGCTGGTTTTGTTTGCCTTTGGATATCATAAACAAGCATCAGTTTGAATTTCAGCCTTTTTTATAGATTTTAAAAAACTCCTCACAGGAGCTTTAAAGAGCAATAAAACAATGTTTATATTTTATAACACAGAAGTCATTAAACTGTAAAATGAAAAGCAAGTTTGTGAAGATAAACTTTCTGATTCAAAGTGAAAGTGTTTTCATGGTGTGAACTAAAAGTGCATCTTCTTATCTTATCTTCAGGCACTTTTTTTTCACTACAAGACAAAAATAGCAAAACGATGTTTTAGAGTCCAAGTAAGGCAACTCCCTGCCTAACTAGCCTCAGAAAACAAGAGGCTGGCATGCCTCGCCTGAGATTTAGCATGTCATAAACTGCTGTAAAGCCTCCAATCTGTGTCACTACAAATTTATATCTTCAGACAGAGATATGCAAAGGTCAAAAAACCTGAGGTGTCCATCATAAATCAGGCAGTTGAAATGTTTATAACCTTTATCCGTTAGAACAGACTCTTGGCATAGCCAGGCCTGGATTTACAGAAGCAGCAGCCTGTTTCGGAGCCAAAAGCCTTTTTTCCCCCTCCTTACATCTAGAGAAACCCGCTCACTGCATAGGAAATAGTAGATTACATTTACTGCTACTTTCATGGCAGCATGCTGTCCAGCTGGATCGCTGCAAAAGGCTTACATGACAATATATTTACTACTTGAAGAATTAATATCTTCATGGAGAGCAGACCCCCTCCTTCGTGCGAGCCATTCAGAACGTGTCAATCATTCAGGAGAGCGTGCGTGCCAGCTGTAAAAGAGCGTCCCGTTTCCGACGCAGAAACTTTTGAAAATTTGAGAACATCAACATTTATCCCCTGGAAGGTCGACAACATTTCCTTCATTAATCTGACAAGCCATGGAGAGTTAGCAGCCTGAGGAGCTTAGCTAATGGACAGCTGCAATACCCAGCGCAGGACTTTGAGAGTATCCGCGGTAACACTATCTTCAGAGGAGATTGGGTAATTCATAGGTGCCAGTGACAGGTCTGCACGTCTGTGCCACTTTCCCCAGCGCTCTCCGGTTGTCTCAAGCTACAGTTTTTGCTGCTCGCAAATCAATATCTCTTTTTACTTCCCATTGATTGCCTAGTGGTGGGACCAACCTAAGCAGGACTGTTATGACATTTCTAGATTTCCCCCTGTCCTTGGAACAATCAATTACACGCGCATGGCAATCAAAACCTCTTTGCAAAATGAACCTGCTCCATGACATTTTCATCTCCCGGATTTATGCCATGTAGAGGAAGAAAAAAAAGAAAGGAGGAGGGGAAAAAAAAGAGAAAAAGAGAGAGACAGAGAGAGAGAGAGGCCTGCTGGAGAGGCTGAGAACATGCTAACAACGCAGGTCGGGATCATTGAACAATCTCCAAGCTGTCTCAGAAAGAATTATCCGTTTCTACTTCCTGTCTTCGCCCTCATGTGCGCCCAATTAATGGTGTCTAAAAAACACTTAGTCACCGCGTTCATCTGTTGTTATAAATAGGTGTGAAAATGTCACTCAAAAAGTACATAATCTTAAAGTTGTGAAGCTCCTTTGTGCTCGCAAAGTTGGAAACAGGATGGCGTGTTTATAAAAGTCACCATGAAGCGATTTTCCTTCAGTGAGCTATCATTAGAACGAGACACACACATGTCACAAGGTTTAATATTTGACAGTGATAACTGACTAACTCGCTGAGCAGAGCACGTCAAGATCAAACGGAAACATTGTCAGACTTCCTGATGATAGTCTTGATGACACATCTGAAGTTAAGTCTGAACCGAATCACATGAGAAATGGTGAAGAGCTAATTCTGCGCCCCGGAGCCATCTGTAAAGATCTGTAAACACCTCTCTCTTCATTGTTCCCTGACAGGAAACAGTCTCCCCGAGCCCAAGGACACTGCAGAGTAAAGAGAGAACAATCACAGGCTGGCTGCTCGCTTTGACGAAATTTGTCTGGAGGTTAATTGATATCACAGAATTAAATAGTTTTTGACTCGCTTTTTAAGTCGGGATGTGTCATTAGCTCCCATCTGACCCATTATTTCATTCCTGCACCTTTAAAAGACGCCTATAAAGGAGCGTAACAACCAAAAAATGAGTCCAAACCGCGTCGTATGCTGCATTAGATTTAGATTAACAGCATCGCGGCGCGCACAACGATGCAAATCAGGTCTAAGAGCAGCCATGAACCCCTACAGAGCCAGTCTGTCGGATCTTTCTGAGTCTCTCTCTGACAAAACCCAGCGACTGAAACACTCATGTTAATTTCTGTATGCATGACGGAGATGTTACTTAAAGCGCATTACTTACTTCACTAAACACAAGCCATTCATGCAGATAAATGCCTTGCTTTCATACACCCTCAGCTTTAATATTTAATAGTCTAATATAATCAAATAAAAACTCCCAGCTCAAAAAAAGACACGGACAACTCGAGGACAGATTGTGAACACAGAAAACGGCACAATGTGTTCAGATGGACCCGCAGCCAGATTAATATGATAGGATCGCAAATATGACACCATATCCTGCCATCTGGCTGTTCATTTGGGCAAAAATGATCACAATAATTATGGCAATTAATCAAAAATGTTTTCACAAGCAGCATTCTGTTAACTAAAAACACAGAGAAGTTTGAGATGCACAATCAACAAACAGAAAAGACGGTCTGAAGGCGGTCCGTCTGAGCCGAATTCAGATTTTTATGCATGTGCGGATTTCGAAAAGTCTGTTTTTTCATGTTGCACGGATGCTAATCATGATATTTAATGCGCCACATCAGATCACCCTGCCTACAGCTCCAGGACCCCCCTCCTCCTCTCCTCTTCCATGATGTCACCCAGAGACGTTGCTCCTTTTGATGCCTACTAGAAGCTTCTGCTCCGAGACGCGTCAGTCGGCCCGCCGCCTAATTGGAAGTGAGCGGTGGGAGAGCATTGCAATCTGCACTCCAGCACCTAAGTCATCACTTTGAACGTGCCACAGCCACCGCCGCAGCATCACATGCAGTCGCCTGGTGTTGCATCTCACCGAAGGGTCCCCTATCAGCACCGCGAGGAGGAAAAAAATATACACAAGATCCTCGCCATCCTGTGTGAGCAGAGCGGCTACGTGAGGACAGGTGGATGATTTCAGTTCTGTTTGTGAACAACATGTTTTCTCTCACACATGGACAGAGTGGGGGGTATTTAAGGGGTTTAAAGACACAGAGAGGGAGGGATCGATCTACAAGATACAGCTAAGCGAACCAGATCAGACTGATTGATTAATTAATATAGTTGGTTTTTTTGTGCAAGTGTCGAGTCTTCAATTTTTCTGAAATATAAAGGGATTGACAGAATTTTTGCAATTTTTTTTAAGCATGTTTTATTTCCTTATTCACTTTATTTAATTTAAGCAAATTTTTTTTTTTTACAATTTTATATTTAAAAATAACTTTATATTGGAGAAAAAACCAAAGGAAATAGAAATTAAAAAAAAAACAACTAAATTTTAGATATTTTTTTTTCCGATTTTAGATATATGAAATAAGTTCATATCTGGTTTAAAAAAGCATAAGAAATAGAAAATACAAATACAGGGGCATGTATCATGTAAAAGCTCCATATTTCCAACTACAACTTAATAACGTGATTTGTGTTAAACGAGCCTCGACTAAGTATTGAGTATTTTAAATCCTTTGAATATTTTTGTGATGATTTTTATGACACGTAAACTGAAATAGCTTTAAAAGGTTCACTTTACATGCAGTTTGTGTGGAAACAGAAGGTTTAGTCTGGGATGAGTAATGCCATCATGATCTCATAATTAAGATTGATTGAGTTACACATAAATTAAGATTTACAACTCAGAAAGTAGGGACATCATTAGAAACAAACAAATCTATCTGTTTGTACTTTTATAAGCTTCCTGAAGCTTTTCCAGTTCAGCTTCACCATAACTTTACCACTGACTCTCCTAAAAGTTCAGCTTTAACATTTTCCATAACTAAATTAAATCATTCCTGATATCTTCCTTTGTCCACCTCACTAAATGTTGTTTCTGATCGCCTTTTTCTTTAACAGTCATTGTGAATCAACACTGTCAAGTTTGTATTTGGATTTATCTAAAATTTCCTCTTTTAGGTTGAGGCTGAACTTCAGCTTGATTACTTTAATATTTTAGTAAACGTATAACCACGGCTCTTCATATTTAGAAAATAAGTGTAAAAATGTGATTAAAGCTCCTGTGAGGGACTTTCTGTCTGAGTTGCTTTTGGTGCCCCCTCTGGACAAATAGAAACTGATTTAATATACAAGTTTTATTTTAACAAATAACGTCATCCTGCCCTTTTTTTTAACAATCAAATGTGTCACGGGGGTAGATGTGACCCCCTTGAAGTGATTAAAGGCGTCTAATATTTCAATACAAACATAGTAACATACGCTGCGTTCGAGTTACCTCAGGAGTCATTTGTCTGAGCTGGGAATGACGTCACACCCGAGTTACCAAGTCATAAAAAAGCAAAATCGGAGGCGGAAAAAAGATGGCTACATCTACAAAAGTTATTTTAGTTATTTTAAGTTATTTTGACTTGGTAACTTGGGTGTGACGTCATTCCCAACTCGGACACCTGACTTCGAAGTTACTCGAACACAGAGTTAGTTCCTGTTGATCTTGTTTGATTTTGAAGGCATCACTGAAAATTTTTCTGTTTTTTTAAACTGATTTAAGGGAAAATTTGACAAATAAGCAAATTTAACTTTGATAGTTTCACTCTTTCTGACCACATTTGAAAGAATAATCACATATTTCCCTGTAAGTTCTTCTATCCGACGATATTTTAAGGTGTAAATAGAATTAATATTTCTTGCACAGCTGAGAGAGCAGTTAAGAAAACGAGAAGACGCTGTGAAAAACTAACCGAATGGACTACCAGAGATAAGCAGAAATTTGAGGTGATTTTTAGTAAACTACCCCTTAAAATTACTGTCCGCTGAGTAAGCTGAACCCCGCTGTTTAGTGTAAACAGATGGAAATATACTGTACACAGCGTCATGTCTCCTATTTGCCCTCTTCTGCTAACAAGAGAAGGTAAACATAAACAATTTGGCGAGCATGCAGGATAACGTTACAAGTGGAGAGGCTTAAAAGCTTCGGTGTATATTTGTCAGATTATAGATGATCATTTCTGCCCTGACTGATGCACAGTTCCAGTTGGCGGAGCAGAAGCGGGGCGGCTTTAGCTCCACTGTATCCTCCACCACGAGCGGGAGGGGAGCATCAGCAGGAGCAGCAGCAGCAGCAGCAGCCTCCTCCTCGCGAGCCGCTCTGTCACTCGCTTTCTGAAGAGCTCGTGACACGGCTCTCCAGGAGCGACATGATGAGGTCTGATGGTTCCTTTCTGCAGAATAGCAGTTTACCCCTCATTCACCCTTATCAGAGAGTGAACCCATCATCTTACAGTGTGCCACTCAAAGCGCTCCGCATATTGGAGCTGACCAGTCGAGCAAACAGGGCGGTACTAATAAAAGACCATCTTGCTTTGGTTCAAATTTCCCTGATTGAATGTCAGTCAGGAATGTTTGCGTGGCAGCGGGGAGGAAAGTGGGCCATCGTTTAAAGGACCACTGCCTCGCACACATAAGGCCTTTGTTCTACTTTTATGAGATACTGAGTGAAAGGTATGATGGCCTCCACCCGCCTGACGTGCTGTTTGTTTTTCATGCCCACTAGCCCGGCTAAATAAAGAGCTTTTCTATTCCGATTCAATCTTTGTCGGACAATTTCTAAACATTTATCCCATTTTTAAAACATAATTAATCACAGGATAAATCATTGTGGATATTACATTTATTTCTTTATGATATCAAGTGTTTTTTCTGGGGGCTGAGTGATACAATGCACCCCCAGTACTCAAGCAAACCTTTGTTTTGGGGATGAAAGTGAGGGAACCAAATCCTGCTGAGATTGGGAATTGATCCTTCAACCAGTGTAAGGAGCACTACAACTGATACAGGAAGCAACTGCTCTACCAACTGTACTCTACAATCCAGTTCAACCGCATTTAAAGCTCCTGTAAGGAACTTTTTATGACAACAAATCTCCATCTGCTGGTTTTTGACCCCCTCACACCAGATTCAGGTGATAAAAACAGGGTAATAGACACTTCCAGTCTTGTTGTTGTTGGTCTTGTTTGCTTTTGTTTATCATTAAAAGGCATCAACATGAATTTCAGTCAGTTTTGCAAACCTCCAAAACTCCTCATAGGAGCTTTAAGTTACATATTTTTTTATATTTTTTATTCTTCACAAGTATTTTCAGCTGGAATTTTGTCCTCGAGGGAGCGCTTTGCAAACCGTGGTTATGACATACTAAAGTGATACTTTAGTCAGGGTGTTAATTGGTGTAATCATAGCAGATAAGCGGGTCTTTCTGTTAATTTAGTTATTTAAAGTTTGCTTCATATCACTTAAAAAATGGTACAATAGGATTTTGATTGACTAAAAATGAGAAATCTTAAGTGTCCAAACCTGCCTGAAGTTTTGCAAATGTGCAAGAACAGCTGTACAGTTTAAACCCAAACACGCCTTAGTCAATGCACTTAAAGATTCTTTTAAAACTTTTAAGTGGGGCTGCCAACTAAAACACATTATTCATAATGCAATTAAGGTCAGAAATGTGCTTTTTTGTCCCTTGCTGCTCACTGTAGGGGAGGCTGCTGCAGTATCCTCTTGCTTCTTGCCGCCACCATTATAGAAAATAACAACAGCAGTTCTTTTTAATGGCACATTTCACTCTAAAAGACTCCAAGACAGCTAAGTAGAAAAGTCAGAAGTAATAAAGACTTCATGTCAAAGTACCAGGAGTCAAGATCATTTATTGGATTTATCTGATTCTCGTGTTAAGACAACAGTAATTTTAACTTTAAATCTTTTAAAATGCAAAAGTATGAAATTTTAAACAAGCAACTAAAAATACGATTAATCACGATTATCAAGATTCAGCGATTAATCGCGATTAAAAAGATAAATCGCCAATTTTATAATGTCTGGCTTTTTATGTCTATCTTCCAGAGTATGTTGCTGCCTCCTTTTATTAATAATATGGTTTAATCTTGTTGCATCTTATTTTTTCTTGCATTACACATGATAATAAGGAACTTTGAACCTTTATGAGTATTTTGAATAATGCAGCTTGTATAAAAAGACAGCCCATAAAATATAATCATGTTTCCTGCTTGTTAGAACACAGCTGGAACAAATCCCACTGACCTCAAGAGGGGGAAAAAAAGTCATTTCTATCTTTCCAGGACAGAGAAACATGATTTGTGTTTTCCCTTAACAACAAAATAGATCAAATAAAATCCATGCTCTGCTCATGTGAAGTAATACAATATTGCCATGCAAAATGTCACGATACTTGGTAGTATTATTTTTATCCACACCCCGAGTTATTCCCTGATATAATATTATCAGCCCAAGCAGCCACAGGCACATCTCCGTCACTCTTTGCTCTGTGGACTGTGCTCCATTTAGTCTTCCCCTGAGATGAGCAGACGTATATACAGTACATACAGTCCCTGCATCATAAACTTTGCATGAACCCTAAACACCGGCCCTCCCAAACAACAACAGCCCTCCATCAAGGTCAGGCTGTGATGAATCTGATAGTGCAGCTGGAGGAGCCTGTGTGTATTCTATTAAAACAATCTGCATTTCACTAACTCCTCCCGCCCGCTCTGTCCCTGTATGGATCTTTCATTAGACGCTGGATGGGCTCCAGCCAAAGCTTTCCTTGTACAAGCAGTTTTACACAGTTTTCAGCAAAGGGAGGCATTTTTTTACATTCCAAGTTCATTAATAGTAGATTGCCACTTTTTCCCTTCATTAAATACAATGAGGCTACAGAGTGAATTTGCAGCTGAAGCGTGCTACTGTCAGATTCTAGTGGGACCAAAGGCGGCTTCGTGGCAAGCTTAAAGGGGGAGAAGCGGGCCCGCCAAACCTGCAGCTCAGTGGGACAAGGCGAGCAACAGTACGAGAGGCAGAAACGCTTCAAAAACAGCCCCGCTCCCTCCTATTCAGATTCATTTTAATGGCAAATTTGTTGTCAAGTGTCCTCCATGAAATGATTAGGCCCTGCTGTTTTCTGAAAAGTGCAAACTTCTGGATTTGCCTGGTGTGCGTTGTCACTTTGACAGCCCATTCGGAGAACAATGGCTGCCCAAATAGTGAAATGTGTTGGCACCGAGTAGTTGAAAGTTTCCCCTCAAAACAGGCTTTCTGCTGTTTGTGGGTATTCTGCTGTGTTGATATCTCGATGTTGATTAGAATGAAAAAAGGAGGCAGTGAATTGGGCTCCCCAGAGCAGCCACATCAACCATTGTACGAGATTGACAGTCACTCCATTGAGCCAATTATTTCTGTTCATAAGACCTGCTTCTATAAAAACTGGTTAAAGACTCCAGTCATTGTTAGAGTGTCTGAATTGAACCAGTGGTAGAATTTACAGAACACTCTTTAATGGCAGCACTGCCCACTTAGTGCAGCTTTTACTACGAGGAATAATTACACACATAATATTGTTTCCATTAACTGTTAAACCTGAATACAGTCCTACTGTCTGAATGACTGCGTAAAAGGATAACTGTGAGCAGTCTAACCTGAGTATTTGGACTTTCATAACAACCCAGGCTGCAGCAGCAGCACAGTGTTGGTATATCAGGAACAGCTTTGACATGGTTTCTATTTTACTGTTTGGAGATTTTACATGACGTGGAGTCCCTCAGGGGTCAATACTGGGGCCGATTTTATTCTCTCTCTACATGCTACCACCAGGCCACATGTTAAAAAATACAACATTTTATTTGATTGCTATGCTGATGACACTCTGCTTTGTCTCCTGGTAGAAAACACTACTTAAAAACCTTTCAAACCTGACGAACAGATATTATAAAAACTAAACATCGTCAAATTAAAGTTAAACCCAGCCAAACTGTTCTTCAATTTAGCTCTTCTTTGTTTTCTGTCACTCGATGTAAAAGAAAACTAGACTGATTATCAGACCTGGGTAATAACTGAGGCCAATATTTAGCAATTATCTGTATTTTATAGATAGCCAAGAATGAGTTTATTTAGAGTGTACTACTAAACACTATCTGATTGGCTGCGTGTCAAACTACTGTGTAACAGGGTGCACTTTAAGTTAAGTCGGTGAAATGCTAACTCCTGTATTTTAATACTAAACCTTTCAGTTTTGATTTAACGTCAGTTTTGTGTTTGTAATATTTCAAATTTGTTTTACTGTCAGTTTATACTGGTTCTAAATTTTGGTTTGCAGTCTCATGAGTAACAAATACACAGTCTTTTTATCAGTCTTGACCACTAATTAAAACATCAGAAACCTGGAGTCACTTTTGATTGGAGCCCCAATTTTCAGAAACATACAAACATAGTTATCCAGTCATGGTGGCGCTGGTCTAAAATTACATCATGATGGATGGAAAATTTTACAACAAGCACAATTCATGAATGGTTCTGACAAATTTTTTTTTTCTGTTTTTGCACAAATTGACAAAAGTCCTACAGTAAATAAGATCAGCTGTTAAAACCAGGATTAAGATTAAATTTGGGGATTTTTTGGCCTTAATTTGACACGTCAGTCTGTGTATATGAGGCGGTTTACGAGCAACACCAAATTTGGTATTTCCAACTGAGTAAAGAGTGCGTATCTTATCCCTGTGATTTTAAAGTAATAAGAATGAATTCTTCATTATTGTTTAGTTTTTGTAACTGTGTGTTCAGATTTCCTTCAAACTGGGGAAATTTCAGCTTAAACCAAGAAAAGAGACCTTACACCGTCTCCTCTTCACTCTTAAGTTTAAGGTTTAACTCTTTACTTTGGTAGCCTGTCATGGCCTGGCCTTAAAAGACATGTACGATTCAGTCAAAAATCAACTTAATTTCCTTTCTTCAAACTTAAAAGTAAAGGGAACGAGTGTTTGCTGCTCGGTCGTGGGTCGGCTTACCTGAGAATCTCCTGATCGCTACATTGATATCTTCTTATGACTCGCTTTTGTCTGGACGTTATTTCTGCAGGCAATTCACAGTGCTTTACTTATTTAGCCTATTTAAAACATCTTCTAAAACATGCTTTTATTTTATTTCTCTTAAATCTTTCTATATCAGCCTTTTAATCTTTTAATTGGTATGTCTTCCTATGTCATTCGCTCTCCTTTTATATTTGTCCTCTTGATTATTATAATAATTCTAAGTATTATTAATAGAGTATGTAAAATTTTTGCCACCTCCTCTACACTTAAAGCTCCATAATAAACCCAGCCTGCTCATGGCGTATACGTTCATTAACACACTGCAAACACTCCCAGGCTGTTCAAACATTTCTCCTGCAAAAGTCAGCGCAACAAAAATATTTTCTCTGCGCTACATCCTCATTTAGCCCACGAGTCAGCGGCGTGACATTTGTAAGGTGTTCAGCTGTAATGGAGGAGGAGTAGGTGCCGACTGCAAGACGAGTGCAGAGCCTTTTTATTCATTGCATGGGAGAAAGTGGTTAATTTATTGAAAAGAAGGTAGGCGGACGGAGCAGCGGAACGGAACTGATACCCTGCGTGGCTGTAGGTTGTGCACCGAGGGGGAGGAGGGAGGTGGAGGAGGGTGATGAGGAGGAGGAGGAGGGGGGGAGAAAAAGGAGGTTGAGGGAGGCGGAGACCAGAGCGACAGAGGAACGGTTAATGGAAATGAGTGACAGGCTTTCAGAATGATTTACAACGGGTGGCGCTGCGGCAGAGCCAGCGCTTGATGGATGATCCTGAAAGACGGAGACGAACCATAAATCATGTCTTTGAATCATTGACAGAGATAAAGGAGGGGGAGAAAAAGCAATGGCATTGACGTTCATTCTTCCAATAATGTACATTGACGAGTTACACTACGGAGCCTTAATTAAAAAGTGAACACGGGTCTTCTCCCTCTCTCCCTCCCCCTCCCCCTACAGGCACAGCTCTCCCCCCTCCACCCTCCACCCTCCCCTCTCCTCTATTGCGATATCAATGGTAATTAAAGATGCAGTATCCCCGGCCCCTGTCCCGTAGCCACTTCCTCCAGCTTCCCACAGCAGCCAGATTAGATAAGTGCTCTGCTAAAAGATAATGTCACCCCTCAACAATATCAATGTGGCTCTGGCCCATTTGTTTCTACATCTGTAAACACGCACACATAAACCGAGACGAGCAGGAGACGGGGGAGAAAGAGGCCGGCTTTATTTCTTTAAGGGCAAAAATAACAAATAGGGATTTGAGCGTCATGTACGCATGAGCTGGCAGAATCTAAACACAAACCGTCTTCTGTTACAGAGGTTAGCATGCTGGTTTTAACCTTTAAAAACGGCATTAAATATGTAGCATGAGAGGGATATTAGGTTTTCTCCGACTCCATCTTGCTTTTTAAAAATTGTGTTGTTCCGTCTTGAGTGCAGATGGCACTTCGATAAACAGGAGGAGCCCTGTAGGAGCCGAGAGCCCTGAATGAGTGGCATTCCACATCAGCTGAGCTCCCTTAAAGTGCACACAATAGAGCAATGAGGTGAAAGTAATCCTAAACATCTGTCTTATGTGTCCTACACGCACAGGCTGTTTGTTCAAGTTCTAGGAAAGACATTAGCAGGAGGAGAGAGGGAGAAAGAGATGGAGGGAGAGAGAGGAGGATGTATCAATTCATGCACTAGTTCTCCAAAGGGATTAAGCCGGCCTCTGTTGTCTGTCCTCTCGCTGCTCGGGCAAACAAAATGGAGAAGACTGCCCTACTAATGCAAATGCCCCCTTTTATGGTGCACTATAGTAGCAGGCATGCATTTTAGATGAACACTTTAAAGAAAGTATATGGATCTTTTTTTTAATTATTCAAACTTTCCCCCTTTTTTTTTTTTAACCCGGTTTAGAAATCTCTGAGAGGAATCGCAGCAGCATGTTTAGGAGGGGATTCTTTAGGATACAAGGGGGTACTACTGACCCCAGAGGGCGTTTGGAGAACTGCAGGAGGTTCTTGAGATTAATTATGTGAATTTAGAAAATACAATATCCATCCTGTAACATTTGCAACAAGGCAAATTTGACAAAACTAGTAAATCTACGTTTTTATACTAAAGAATCACTTCCTAATGCAGTCTTCAAGTGTGCAGGTTGTGATCGGTCGTGACAACATTTTGAATTTGCATAACGCTTATATGGATAATAAACATTTTTAAAACTGTATTTTGGGCCTTTTTGCTTTATTTTGATATTTTGACACGTCCGCTCTTTTAACCGAAGTAAACTCGCGCCCAGAATATAATTTATTTTCTAAATTACACACCAACAGTACAGCAGGAAATCTGAAAAATCAAGTTAGTGAAATATATTATATATATATATCACAAAGAAAATGTTTCAAAACATATTTGACTGAGTTGGTTTTTAAATCTCGTTTATTTTGTCCCTTGAGGCTCTCCGTACTTAAGCCACTGCAGTGTCTTCCTGCTTCCTGCTGCTGTTGTGATGGTAAATGACAACATGACTTTACTAAACTGAGCTTTAACTTATTTTAGTCGAATGTATATGGTTTGAGTTTCACCTTTTCTCGAGTTTTAACTTATTCCTGTTGACCGATTATCTTCTTGTCTTCTATGACAATTTCTTGTCTATTAATCTCAATTTTCATTCTCTAAATAAAGCTCAACATTATTATCATTACATCTTCTGAAAAAACTCCCAGATAGCTCATTTGAAGAGTCAAAGTGATGTGGACTTTGTGTTAAATATAACTAAAATTGCACTTAAGTACGTAAAGTTAGAGTTAGTACTGGTGCAGCTTTTGGGCGTAAATCCCATTTTGAGAGCTGGAGGAGCTCTTACTCTGCAGGTCAGTCAAAATTGCGGAGGATTTCATAATTTGCTTTACTTTCATTATAAGGCTCCAAAAACAGTTTTGAAACACAAATAAAGGAAACTTCAAGATGCGATTAAAAAATGAGATTAATCGCGATTAATCGAGTATCAAAATTCAGGGATTAATCACAATTTGAATTAGCTTTACTTCAATTATGTGTCACTAAAAACAGTTTTGAAAGGCAAAAAAAGGCAATTTAAAGATGCAATAAAAAATGAGATTAACCACGATGAATCGAGTATCAGAATTCAGAGATTAATCGCAATTCAAAGTAACTTTTCTATGATTATTTGTCACCAAAAACAGTTTTGAAACACAAATAAAGGAAACTTAAAGATGCGATTGAAAATGAGATTAATCGTGATTAATCGAGTATCAAAATTCAGGGATTGATCACAGTTCAAAATTAAAACTTTGCCCGTCTTTGTCCTGATACGCGGCTCTGGATTGAACCTCTTTATATAAGTTTCTCAGCTGTGGTTTTATAGGAAGTACATTATAGAAAAAGTTTTTGAACCGCTGGGATACAGTATTTTTAGAGTCCTCGTGGCAAGTCGCCCTGCCCATGTGAGGAAGGACGAGCGCTGAAAGTACAGCAGAGCTCGGCGCATCGTCCTGTTTGACGTCTGCGCGGCGAGTTCAGGGGCAGCCGGTCAGCCCGCTGCGTTCGGGGAGATCCACCAACATAAAAACTGAAAAGACACACAAAGCTGTCGCTGTCGCTCTCTCTCAACCCTCTCCCGCTGTGAGAAGACATTTTGGCAAGCTAGAATGGAAATGAATCCACAATGGTCATCTAGCACTGAAAAGCTGTGGCAATAATATCGGTCAGGCAAAAAGCTGCCCTGCCCAGAGTGTGTGTGTGTGTGTGCTCATGTGTGTACTCATGTGTGTGAGTGTGCATGATTATAAATGATTCATGCAGCAGAAAAAGCTCACAGTCAGGCATGGCACGATTTGAGAATCATTTTCATTTGAAGGCTTGAAGTTGTTAATATCATGTTTGATCGCATCCTTGCATCAAAACACAGTTTGATGGACAAGGGAAATAATTACTTGTCATTCATGTGTCTGAGGTTCCTCTTCTCTTCCCTCTTTTGTTGCTGTTAAACATGTTCCTCTGTTAAACACTTTTTACCTCGGCAAACTCCAGAACGCTCAGAGTCAACTTTCATGTCGCACTTTTGAAAAGAAATGAAACAATCCGAGTCAGAAAGGGAAAGAGAAAATAAAAAATAAAACACACTGATGGAGAGAGAGAGAAAGAGAGAGAGAGAGAGTGACGGCTCTCGGCTGAATGAATCAAAGAGTTTGAGCGTAATGAACTTCTCGGAGTCTCGGTCGTTAATGGACAACGGCTCTCGTTGATCTTAAATGGTCTTAAAAGATGATCCATACTGTAATGAAGCCAGTTCTGCTGCTGCTGCTGCTGCTGCTGCTGGCCTCGAGCCCAAAACAGGACATAATCAAAGTCACAGGGGATACTCTGGAGCTTCTGTTACCAAACAACAGCCCTCCTCTTCGCCTCTTGCGCCCCTTTTTTAAAACGAAAAACAAGAAAAATCTGTTTGTCGTTACTCTTTAGATCCTGAATGCTAAATATTCAAATTCATAGCATGTGTTGGAGGCCGTCAGCTGGGACCACAGAGCAGCAGGACGGCTTACATCCCACCGGGTCTTTTGGAGGAGCAGCTTGTAGTGTCCAAAGCCCACCCTCCTCCAGACTCTTCTGCCCCGGACCACCCTGCTCGCCGTGATCCACTACATGACAGGACGATGCTGCTCAGTCCTTGGACCCATCGTATTGTTTTTCTTGGACCATGGTGAAAGCAAATAGCAGCTAAAGGGCCCCGGCGCTCGCAGTAAAAACCAAAAACCCGTGCAGTCATTCATCAAAGCCCAGACAACTCGCTACTCCCCCACCAAGTACCAACCCCCCCAAGGCACGGCCATCTCCCCCCACCACTCTGGGTTTTAACTAGGACTCCAAATAATTCCAGAAATGACAAATGATACTTATATCTCTGGCCTGTGCCGAATCAATAAGCATGCAGAACAACTATCCATCTTGAGAGGTATCGACAGACGCGGCTCGACATCGGCGGAGAAGCACTTGGTGGCTTTATTCAGGATCGGGATGGGAGGGACAGAAACACAGTACACTCACTTTTAAATTACAATAAACCACCCAACACCGTTAACAATCAAAAAGCTATTAGAGGAAGTGCAGCATCCGGAGATATTCTCCAAAAGAGGAGAAGAAGAAAGAGGAGGAGGAAGATGACCGTTAGCGAAAATATGCGCGACCTCGTGAACTGGGACAGGGTTATTTTGACAGCAGCACCTGCACATGTTTACATGGCAGTTGTGTGCTGGGTATGAGCTGATGGGTGGCGATACGGCCCCTCTCTGGTCCCCCGGCTGGATCGGAGCAGCTGACAGATAGCACTTCAGAGCAGCTTTAGCTGCAGCTCCCCTTGAGGGGCTGTGATTGATGACTCGCACTGCCACCTAGATCCATTTTCTCCTCCAATCTGACTCCTCACAGGTAGAGTGGAGTCCTACCCCCCTCCCTCGCTCCCTCCCTCCCTTCCTCCCTCCATCCTCTGTCTCTTTCTCATCTCCCTTCAAATTCGAGTGGGCTCATTTTCACAAAGGAGTTTACCAGCAGAGTGACTTCAAAACATCCACTTTGAACAAATTAAAAACAGAATCGCACAGAGAAAATAATTTGAACTAAACGCCTCACAAAGCCATTTTGATTCTGAGTATTAGAGATCAGAAAAGTAAAGGAAGGAGGAGGGAAAAAAGGCACAATGTTTGCAGGCGTAATGTCATTAGCAGGGAAAATGTTAAGACCCGGGACCCCTGCAGGTCTGAAGGCATTTAAGAACAGTTAGCTTAGCCATCTGGTAGACAATTACACAGGAACAAACACACCGCCTCAGCAAATAAAGCCGAGCTCATCAATCACCACAATGGCCAGAAGTTGGCCTGTTATTCCCTCTGATTTAATAACCCCATGAACTGCAGTGTTACCCACCACCAGTCTGCTAGTGGAGTGGAGAACATCCCCACATTTAACTAAAGCAGGACGTGTTAAAGAAGCTCAATACGGAGCGGCAAATTACTCCTTTAGTTCAACATTCATGATACATTTAATTAGCCGAATGCGTAGTAAATATTTGGTCCTTAACTACGGCGTAAAAAGAACTCATAAATATATATTTAAATGGGAGTGAAAGAGAAGAGCAAGGTTAAAAGTAAAAACATTTTAAACATGCGCTGTTTCCAGTTTCAAGTAGTTTACTTAATTAACATTTGCCCCGCGCTTTTAATTGCAATCATCCTTCCCCATGGGACCTGAATGAGGACTGTCGGGTAATTGCAGATGTTGATATGAGACGGTGACACCGTGTCAAGTCTATTTCTGAAAATTACTAGATTAAAAAAAAAAAAGGAGAGGGTGATCAGGAACGCACCGCCGCCGCTGAAAGGAAAACTTTACTGAATTAACTGAAAAGGAGCATTTGTGACGAAGCTAAAAATCAACTTAATGTATTTATCTAATTTACAATAAAACTATTTCTTTACACTGTTCTAAAATAAATCTTATTTCCAAAATAACTTGCAACGCAGCATTCAGCAAATTATTTGTGTGTTTACGTCAGCGTATAATCATGTAAATATTTACATCTGTTTGTTTTTGGTCACTTACAATAAAACTTTTATATCTCCATGGAAGTAGATTAACTTCTGCAGAAGCCGCCATCTTGCAGCGCCATGTTTCTATGGTAACACAGAATGGACAAACTACTAATGTACACATTTAGGTGAACAAACGTGTGTTGTTGCAACAAAATCAGGTCTGATGGTCAAAAAAATTGAAAAATGGAGGTTAATAAGAGCTTTTTGTCCTTAGAGGCCACCGTCACCTTACAGATGGGCGGGGTGAGCGAGGTAGCGTTTTCAACTGACACACAGATATCACTAAATACTCCAGATAGGGCTGGACGATATAGCCAAAAATGTTATAATAAAATTTTTCGGTAACACTTTATTATAACTTGTAAATGGTAAATAGACCTTTTATATTATTAATTTTTAATCATCATTTATAAACAGCATATAGACCATTAATAAATTGTACATGTTACAATTATAAAAACCTAACTTTACAATAACCATCCAAGTCATGTTTATAGGTGGTTTAAAACCAAATATTAACTATTTACAAAGTGCTACTGACACATATTTTAATCTGGATGTTTTACAAACAATATTTAAACCCTATATAAACCTTTAATAAATAGTCCATTAAGAATCAATAAAAATTATATTAACTTACATGAATAAACTTTCTATTTGCCATTAATAACTGGTAAATTATGGTTATTGTAAAGTGTTACCATTTTTTCATGTCAGTTAAAACAAACATTTATCATAAGAGAAGCCAAATCACAATTTCTTTAAAATCTAAGAACTTTAGCGTGCTGTTTGCAGTAAAATACGCCACATCATCATCATAATAAGTCTCTCTTCCTTTTTACTTTATTCATTTTTTTTACTTTTCTTTGTTTTTGATCATTAATATGAGAGTTTGCTGCTAAAGGAGTCCACTTCTTTGGGACTGTAATTTCTTTCTTGAGTGATATTGTTTCAAATCACGACACAGCAAAGGATTTTGGGGGTTACTCATCTCGCCACATTTACAGCACAGTTTCCTAACAGTCAAAAAATCCCCAAACTCGTATAATTAAGAGATTGTTTTAGTCGGCAAAGTTTCACACTGCATTAGCTGCTCGGCTCTGTGTTTTCTTAGGTGTTATTGTCGTTTATTTTGGCCGTTTTTGTTCAGTTCTGCTCCAAACATCTGTGAGTTTGCCTACTTTAACCCTGCAATACGATTGGCTCTCCATCAACTTCTTCTTCTGATGAATACTAAACAGAAACTAGTATTTAAGTCGCCCCCTTTCCCAGCGTAATGACAGATTGAAACTGATCAAACTTCTACAGAATTGTTTCATGTTAAATATATTATTTGTTCTGTCGCTCAGCCCTAATTCACCCTCTTACCTGAGACAAATACATCCAGTAAGAGTTCAGGTTTTTGATTACAATGTGTGCTATCACAGGAAGTGAGTGAAACGGATCCCCGAGTACAAAAAGGTAAGATCCAGGCTGAGTTTCACCTGGATGGAGGTCAGTCTTTGTCAGTTTCACTGGAGTGTTCTCTGAGCCAAGAACATATTCATCCGTGTTTCTGGGTTGTGGCTTGTGTGGAAGAAAAGAAGTAGGCCACCGCTGCGGTCTCCGATTCTCCTCTGTACACGCGTCACCTGCCAGCTCATGTGGCCCAGCCGAGATGTGAACAGGTCTGGCAAGAACCAAATGTTTTCATTTACCTCAGGGGCATCTACACTCTGCTTTAGCAGGCGGTGGCAGGCTAACATGTCAAGATACCGGCCCGGGACTCCGGGCCTCTGGGAGAGGTCACGCACTTGAAGCTTAGGTTCAGAAAACATCAAGATATAACTCTGTGCAAAGAGGCGAGGCAGCGCCGGCCTCTGCGGCGCATGAATGTCAAGCTGGAGAGCTAAATATGGCCAAATAACATCCTGTGTGTTATCAATGCAGCTCTGCAGATAGAGACAAGCAAAAGAAGCAGCGGATGAGTTTGTTTGGAGGCAGATTCCAACACCTCCAAACCTGAAAATGCGCTTCATTACACCTTTTACGCTCTGATTTGAAATGTGTTCACATTGTTTGATGGATCCACATTCTGCTGGGCAGCAGGGGGTGGCGGCTGCTTCTCAGGCTAACCTCAACACGTCTATTTCTAGCTGAGGACTTGCTGACAGCACATTTAACTTTGTGATCTGCACATGAGAGACAGCTAACAGTTGCTGACAGCTGAAACACACCGAGCCCCATTTCCCTATACGACGCCTTATTGACACTTTGCTATTTGATGAGGACTTCAACCGACTTTCAGATGAAAAAAACGCCAGAGAGAGAAAAAAACGTCCGGATGGTGGGTACGAAAATATCATAAAGGAAAGGTTGATTTCCAGCCAGCTCATGGAAACCAGTCGTTCCTTTGGGGGGGACGCTCTGAGAGGGGTGGGAGGGGGCAGCGGCTGTCTATAGAAGCCTGATTTATGATCCACTCAGTTTTGCATGTGTGTTCACAGGTTTCTGGGAGTTACACTCAATTAGAGCAGCAGGGGTTAGGAGTATGTTTTTGTGAGGATAAGTTAAAGCTTGACACGTTTATTTCTGCCAGAGCAGCTGAGGAGCCGGTGACAGCCTATCAAAAGTCGTTTTTCTTTGATCACAAGACTCAAAGTGTGGGAAATAGTAACCGTCCTTGACAAGTGAAAAAGAGAAATCCAAAGGAACACAAAATGTTTATAAAGCACAATCTTAAATACCAGTCAACATGAGCGGGAGCGGAAAATAACCGTACAGTGGAGATAGAAATGTCATCACTTAGCAGGACAACAAGAAGCTGACAAATGCAGCGCTAATCAAATTTGTAAAATTCAAATTAGCTTAAGTATAATTCTCGCAAAGCATGACCAGGGAGCTCGCATGCGACGCAAAGACTGAGGGGAGACTTAATGGATTCAGCAGGACAAAATCCCCAATTACAAGTTAAATGCCATGTCCCTTCACAATTTATATAAAAGTAGTAAATCTTATTTTTGAGACGTTTAATGATTGAGCCAGTCGGAGAAAGTGGAGGGAACAAAGTACCAGCGCGAGGAGTTACTCATATCCCCGCTGAAAAACTCCTCCGTTTAATGATTCACCACTAAGGAGAGTCCACACACTTCCAGAAGAATTCAAATCCCTTTTCCCACAGCCTCTTTCAGTCCGTATGATAAATGACACCCGTCATTCCGCCGTTGCCAAACAGCACAGAAGGGAATTGTACTGATATATGATTCACAAGAACAGGAAATAAACTCTGCCTTTCTCTGTAGCGCTCTCCCTCTTGCCAAGTAGGACGGACCTGGACAGTGTCAGGGCTCTCATGGCGGAGGCTGAAGGGGAAGGCTGACGGCGCTGAAACCCAAAAAGGGAATAGACGGTGGGTTTCCGAAATGAACTCTCCCCCCTCTCTCGCTGCCTCTCTCTCTCTCTTGAAACACAGGATGACTGATGAAAGGCAGCGAGAGCCACCGCATTAAAAATAACAGCGGCATCTATGGGAACCAGCTTAGGAGGATCAGAAAAATTAAAACAAAGGCCACGCGAAAGTCTGCAATTATCAAACAGGGGAGGAAAATATAGCATGAGCAACCTCCTCCTGCCCCCAATTACAAAGAAGCAAGTGAGGCTAATTACTGCGGCTTGATTATTGTAGATTTTGAAATGAGTGAGAAAGACAAAGACAGAGAAAGATGAGGTTCAAGTTCAGACAAGACGAGCTCACATCAATTCAGCTCAAAGAAATCAAATGAAAGTTTGAAGTTTGAGATGGAAACTAGTCGAATCGAAACTTCCTGCTAAATTTACACCTGAATAATAACCAGACAGCTGATGGTGCTGTGGTATAGAGGTCGACAGATATCTGCTTTTTGACACCAATATGGATAATGCCGATATCACACTGTTGTTGTTGAACTTGAGTGAAATAAAGAGACAAAAATAAACTAAAAAAAGAAAAAGAAAGTCATGTCTGCTGTAACTGGGTAAAAAAAAGTGTGATGCCGATACAGATAATGCCGATATCACACTGTTGTTGTTGAACTTGAGTGAAATAAAGATAAAAATGGCAAAAAATGAAAATAAAGAAAAAGAAAGTAATGACTGCTGTCACTGGGAAAAATGTATTTTCATTCAGAGAAGATAATCACGATATTGGCTTTGTGTGGGCCAATGCTGATATTAGGTTTTGTCAAAATGCCATTTATCGGTACAATTTATCGGCCTATCTCTACTTCTTCGACATGACACTTCAGCCAATATTGTTTTAACATTTTGAGTTTTAAAAAACTATGTCGATAAAGAACCTTCTTTTAACAGCAAATTAGAAAAAAAACTGAAATAAAATCAATGAAATCTGTTTTAAATAAAGTCGTTTTATTTCTTTAACATTTAGTCAAGAGGCAGACTGATTTTTAGCCAACATCTATATGCCGATATTTCCAAACTCATTTTGGCCGATATGATAAATTGTACATTAAAATAGAAGACACTGTGAAGCCAGAAGATTGAGAGCTCCCCCTGCTGACTGGCTGCAGTATAACCCCTTCATTATCACAGATGGAGCAGGTGACAGAAAACAGAATTACAATACACCTTAAATATTTGTTTTTCTATTTTTCTACGAGGTTTAATTTTAGTAATCTGATTTTAAAAAGATGACTGATCGATTGACAGCTCTGCTGTAAAACGTGAGAGAAAACAAAGACTCCCTGAACTTTACGAAACTGTCAGTGTCTGCTTCAAATCAACAGAAATCTGCCCCCAGCTCGGACATTTAATCAGCGAGACATTTTATCGGTGTTTTAGTTTGAGGAAATGATATAATGTCTACTGACCAGATCCCATCCAAGCATCACATCAACAGTTTCCTGATTTCATATCTGACATTTGGTGGAAATAAAGCCAGACTGTCCACTTTATAAACAGCAAATGTTCAATACTGATACCAACTCTGATATCGATAATGATGGTAAAGTTGCACCTTTGGGTTGTGAGACATTTAGCCAGTCAGATCAAGTTGTGGGTGGGATTAGTCGACTTTTTCAACCATCTGTAAAATAAAAGGTTGATACAGATAATAGACTAATGGTGCGTTCGACTTAGTCCCAAAAAAGCTAAATCGGAGGCGAAAACAAGGTGGCTACATCTACAAAAGTTATTTTAGCGCTTGCAATATATTCGGACAAGGCAAGCGCTAAAATAACTTTCGTAGATGTAGCCATCTTGTTTCAGCCTCCGATTTTGCTTTTTCTTGACTTGGTAACTGAAACTGTGGGAACTTGGGTGTCACATCATTTTCAGCTCCAAAATCCGAACTCGAACGCAGCATAATTACCAAATATCGGCCCTGATCATTAGCCATACTGATAATCGAACTCTAGGACATATTTGACAGATACTTTCTGATACCTACATTGACTGTTGGAGGGTTTCTGTTAAGACCACACATCCTCTCTCATTTTATGCTCATACCTGCTGGATTCACCAAAACAAAATTAACTTTGGCTTCATCTAAAACACTGTAAAAGAAATATCGTTATCATTGAAGTCCAAAAAACTTCCATTTGTAGCAGCAGAATTACCGTGCGGTGGATAATAGTAATTCTGCAACAGAAGAAATGACAGCACTGCTGAATCTCCTCCCCTCCCCTCTATTGTCTGTTACAGTTTTACTAAGTTGGTGTTCTTGTGGTGGGGAGACAGACGGGGGAGGCACATCCTGCTGCTGTGCGGCTGCTCGCCTTCAGGCTCGTCCCTCCAGGCCCGGCGCTCAGCGGTAGGCCTCCCACTTGGGCTCAGAGCGCAGGGATGTGCCCAGGGCCAGGACCAGCAGCACTCAATCACCCAGACAGCGACATCCTTTCGCCATCACCATCAGAGAGGCCCCTTTGGGGTGGTGTGAGAGGGGGGGCGAGGAGTGGGGGGTTGGCGGGGATATTTATGAGTGGAGCGTTCACACACACGCCCATGCGGCTGCGATTCCGCTGATATACTGTCAGCCGGACTGTGGGATGGAGCCATATAGTTCATCTCCTCCTCATTTTCAGCCCCTAACCAGACCCCTGTAAGTGCCCCCCCGAGCCTTACAGGTTGGTCTGATGCAGGAAGCAGACAGTGAACGCTGCACTGCATGTAAATCCAGATCTCCCAGCGAGAAAGTCGAGTTTGAGAGTAGCTATCTGATCGCATTATCAGTGATTGCTTTGTTTGAAAATGTGAACCAAATGACCAGAAATAAGCTGCGGCGGGGAGGGGGGAAAAGTGCGAGCGAGCCGCAGTGTTTTGAAAGTATTTGTTACAGAAGACACTTTGAGCCGAGCCCTACCTGATGAGCAGCATATGTTTACCTAAGAGGTGTATTTTAATGCCTCTTTACCTTTGATTTCAGAGCAGAATAATTACAGAGGAAGCCATGTAAAACCCCGTGGCAGATTAGGGAAGTGAGTTGGAAATGGGTTCAAATTGTCGTTCTGAAGTAAAGAGGCTACTTTGCACCACAAGGGGTTTCTTTCCTCAGGCAGGCCAGGGGATTAAAAGAAGCCATAAAAGGTCTCTGTAATGGCATCAGTAATGTCTCGCTGCCATTAAAAACGGTGGGAAAAACATCTGCTTTGCATTTTTCACTCCCCTGCTACTCATTTGTCTTTCAAACTATCCTGGAGACTGCCTCAGTTTCAGCATGCTCATATTTTTTCAGGGAAAAAGCTGATTTTACAGACTTCATCGGGGATGGAAGTTGAGCCAGCAATCAGGATTGGATAACGCCAAAACAAGGGCTAACCAGTCGTTAAATGCTGCAAAGCTGAACAATCTGTATTGTTTTATATCCCTCTCAGGACTTTGTGCCAAAAAGACTAGAAAGATTAGAAAACTATCCGTGTTCGCACTCTGATCACTCAAACCGAACACCCAGACTGACAACTTTAGTAGATACAGAAACACAAAAGAACCTGACACGGGACAAGAACACAAACTGAACTCTGTCCACTATACACTTATTTTCTAATCCATGAGCCTGATTTACAAAAATTGTGCAACTTTTGTGCAACTAAGCCTGAGACTATGAGACAGAAACACGCCTTTTAATTCACAGGCACAAAAGGTTAAATGCACCACAATAAGCAAGAAGCCACTGCACAAGTGTTGTTTGTATCATTATGCATTAATCTGGAAATTGAAAATATGCCCCTTTCTGTGCAAATCATAAAAAAAAACAAAAAAACATAATTTATTAAAAGCCATGCACATTTTGAGTATATCACAGTGCAGAGATGCAGAGATGTGTTCATCCTAATAAAGTATTTTTACAAACTGACAGTTCTAACAGTTCCACTTTTGGCTGATCTGAAAATCATGTACAGAAAGTCTGCTAACATCACTTTAATATTAGAGGTTTAAATCGTCTATGGTTGTCTGTTGCTTAACACCCCTTATTCAATGTGCCGTTACGCATCAGGATTAGAGTGCACAGCGCAGCTCTGTGCAGCAGAGCGGAGATGCAAAATTGGAGCAAGCCTGAGAATGCTGCACAAATTTATTGATTTAAGACAAAGCAGATCGAGGGGGCAAGTAATTCGCAGCTACAATTAAAGTTTAGTGAATTCTCTTTTTAATAGAAATGACGGACAAATGTTAAAAATCTATAAAAAAATATAGAATAAGTCATCGTTTGTTTTGCATTTGGAAATTACTACGTTAAAATTTCACTTGTTTTAAAGGAAATTAGATTTTAAATGTATTTTTCAAATTACAAATCAATAAAATGTTCAGATTTGTTGCGTAAAGGGAGAATATTGAGGTTTTTTTCTTCTTAATTAGTCTCAAACTTTAAGAACAACACAGATAAACACTGCACAAAATGATACATATGTACACCAAACAACTGTACATGTCAAAGACTGATTTACACAACATATGTATGTCAAAAACAAACAGTTTGAGAAGGAACAGAATGAGCCTATCTAGTCCCGCCCCTTCCATTTTAAAGCGGGCGTTTCTTTAACCGTCTAATTTAGTGACGATTATCTTTCCACCGCACAACAAAAGCTCGATACTAAAACAGTCAGAGCCGTGTACAAAAATGACCCTGTGTTTAGGATAAAATAAAAATGTGGTTTCTTACATTTTGGATAAATCATGTTACTGCTGATGGTGATGGGCCCCTCTTTTCCCCCCTATTTTGTATTCTCCTATCGTTCATTATTGGACAGATTTTCACTCTGTCTGTAAACCTGAATCCATTTTTTTTTTATTTTGTTTTTATAAATTTGCCAAAAACACAAAGGTGAATATTTTAACACATCTGTATTCACACCTAGATCGCATAATAGGATCCAGCCCAGAGCAAACACCTTGATTGCTTTATGGCCGGCCCCAACCATTAGAGGTGCACAGTAGCCTCATTCAGCGGGCTTCTGGGAAGCTGAGGCCCTGCGGTAATCTTTTCTCTGCTAACCCTTTAATAAACCATAGCCTGCTTCATTAGCTTCCCCTCACAGAGTGATTGATCGGTGCCAGTCACAGAAAGCCCATCCTCGCTCTGCCTACCTCTCCACACAGCAGCCCACTAAATAAGGAACTTTTTTCTCTTCTTTTTTTTGTCAGCCAGCTACCACCCATCAGACTATTAAAGGAGAGTATTCAGAGTGAGCCAAAGAGGGAGTGGCATCAGCCAAGGATGGCAACGCAACAGTGTTCCTTTTGTTCAAAGGCTGGGTCAAAATCAATTTATAGGATGCACTTTACCCGGCTCACTGTACGAGAATCTTAGGGGTTCAGATTCAGTCTCGACACATGAAAGAGAAAAGGGAAAAAAAGATGCAGTGAGATTTCAACAACGAGCTGCTCGTATCACACAGATATAAAAATACATTAAGAGAGCAGCCGCAGACAGAAACGAGGCGGGATTAAAGGTGTAGCTATAGACGGGGTGACTCACTATTTTGCTTATTGCTCAACAAGTCCTCCTCGATTATTAGATTACACTCACTCTGATTCTATTTCACCCTTTTTAAGAGGTAATTATCAGGAAAAACACACATGATTAGTCATGGAAAATGAGTTCAGACAGAGAGAGTTTCGGGCAGCAAATAAAGTTTGATTGTTATAAATGACTCCTCCATCTTTTGGACAATAAACTGATCGAACTTCATGTCCATAAAAGGTCAGACAGATGTGAAAAACAACCGTCAGTATTTTTCAGCACTTAAACTGATGGATAAAAGTCCTCTTTTCTTTGATTTTTTTTAATCAAAATCAGCATTAGATGTATAATTTCTTATATCTTTGATTTAATTTGGTAAATAATTGCAAAAATAAGTCCATGGTAACTTGTTGGTTCACAGCAGGGGATGGGAGTAGTTTTTTATTCTAGTGAGGTGAGACAACGAAGAAGCAGCGGCAGCAATGTAGCAAACTAGCTGTAGCATCTTTCTGAAAGCAGGTCAGATACGTTTAAAACTACAGGGTTCCTACACAGTTGGAATACCTGCTTTTCTATTTTAGTTAACAGTATTTTAAAACTGTGGTAACAGTCTGGAAACTTAAATATTTTTCCATACTTTTTTTTTTCATTTTCCAGACTTTTTAAGACCTGAAATTGATCAAATTTATTTCCGTACTTTTTCCATACTTGCGTAGGAACCCTGAAACTAAATACCAACTAAACCAACTGTTTATTTACACTTTCTGGCTGCTCTTTTATCTGATTTTATTCAGTTCTGCTGGAAGTAGCTTAGAGGTTGTTTCAAAATAAAAGCAGCTTTTATAACTCAGCAAATACAGCAAACTTGATGCAAGACAGTTAAAAAGTCAGTCTACAGAATATTGTTTTACAGGGCAATCTCCTCTTTAAAGGTTTGCACTAACTGGGTTACTTATACCTCTACTTTAGCATTTTTTCGACGATGAGGTACAAATGTGGACGTCATTTCAACGTCTAAAAGAGATCCAATAATGACATCTAAATCTTGGATCTATTTTGGACTGGATTTGGTCTTCAGATGACGTCCAAATTCTAAACCTCTTAAAAAGGTCCAATTTGGACGTTAAAATTTCTAACCTATTTTGCACTGACGTCTAGATGTGTTCTTTGACGGACCGACCCAATACTGACTTGATCTTTGATGTCCGATGTTTGGTGGATTTGGCTCAAAAGACGGGTGTTTGTGAAAAACGACGAGTCAGATTTAAAGAAAGAGAGTCTGAGTTTAATTCGAAGTTTCTGTTAAAGGACAGATGATGGGGATGAAACAAACTGACTGGACGATAACTACTCCACAAGCTGCTCACCCCCTCCCACATTAACTTCGTCTACTTCAGCCGCTACAACTTTTGAACCGTCCTCCATCTCCTCACCTGTCTTTCCCTCTTTGTTACGGACTGGATGGGGTGGAGTCACGTCTCCAACGTTAGACAGTGTCTTAAAGGGACATGAGACCATAGCCTACCTACACGCATCCAAAAACAACTTTTATTTATTCATTTTTTGCCATTGAATATACAGATACGGGCAAAATGACGTTGATTATTGTCGTAAATTTTGGTATCGGTAGGTTTTAGGTTTATTTGTCACCCAGCCCTAGCCACAGTGACCCTTTTTATACCATCATATTATATTTTGCATAAATGCTCATGCAGATGCATTTGCAAAAGACAAACAGGAAGTCTGGAGTCTAAAGTTAAAAACCTGAGATGACAATAAAAGTGGATAAAACTGCATTACTGTAAAACTGACGTACGGTTCCCCTGCCCTCCATTAGGCTCGGTGCTCTTTTCTCTTTAGTAGTTCCTACAGTATACACACAGTGCTGTGTGATCCTTCATGCTCTACAGCAGAGGAATAGAGAGATACAGAGCGGAGAGGTGCTACATGCTGCTCAGCTGCAGTGATAAAGTCAGTAATATCACTATCTCGCCCTCCTCTCCCAAGAATTGCTATAAACCTATTTGGAAAATTGCACCCATATATTCAGCGCAGACAGTCAGCTCGTCCCGGTGACAGTGCAAACTTTTAGGCTGAATTACGCCCGTGTCATTCAGAGGGGTTTATCAAAGAGGGTCAATAACTCACAGACCCAAATCTGAGGTGGGCCGGCCCAGCCCAGCCCAGCACCTCCCTCTTTCTTCTCTTCTCTTCTTCTCCCCCTCCACCTCTCTCTCTCTCTCTCTCTCTCTATCTTCCTCTCTCCTTCTCTGCTAACAGGCAGCTGGTGTTTCTGCCACACAACAGACTGCTGCTAATGCTCAGGACACAAGATGGTGCCCAGTCACACTCCTGCATGGCAACACTGGAGGCTGAGCAACTCCAGTACGAGACCAGACTGGAACGTAATGAGAAGAACTCAGTGTGCCGCTGAAAATCACCCTCATAAAAACACAAATCAAACTTTGACGAGGTCGTTTTATCGTGAACTGATGAGTTTTTGTTTTTTCTCCAAAATATGTCAAACTTAAATAACATTAAATTGTCTTTTTATTCGACCCTAAATCTTGGTAAACTGTCATCAAATTGGAATTTGTTCTTTATTAAATGTTAAATTTATTATTTAAGCTCTTTTTGACACACGGCACTATTTAAGAAATTCATGACAGACAAGTGACGTAAAATAACAAGAGGAACTATATTAAATTAGAACGAAGCAACAGTATTTGTCTTGTTTCTACAAAATAAACACAAAAAATGTACTTAAAATAAGAATAACACTTCGAATTCAACAAACTTAATCACACTAAGTCTTATTTTAGGCTTATTTTATCTTAAATTTGGATTTTTTTTCTGGGCATGTCTGGTTAATGTACCTCTGCATATATTTTTATACTGGAAAATCAGTCAAAAAAACTTGCTTGGTGGTATAAATTAATGGAAAAAGTTGCTTAAATCCACTGCAAGAACATCGATCTCATGTCATTCATTTGTTTCACTGATTAAAATACCTCGTTACACGTAATTTAAGCCAAACGAGTCTGAGTTTTCATCTTAGAGTATTTAAAATTAGAGATTGCAATGACTAAAAAGACAGACTGTGAAGTTTCATACTGATCTGGACTAAATTAGTAAACTTGTTAATGTAACAGGATACTTGGACAGGAAATCAGACAAAGATGTTTCAGGTTTTTACAGTGAAATCGTCTGTTTTGGTTAATTTAAGGTCAAATTACAAAGTCATAAATTATAAATTCCTTTGTTAACTTTTGCAAAAAATTCCTGACGACCAAGAAATAGTTGTTTAAGCTCAACTGGACTCTGTATTCTTTGAATTAATAAATTTTGCATTGAAAAACAACTCATATTTACAAATCTGCATCCCTTAAATAGATGTAAAATAAATAGAATCAGCATCAAATACAATTAAATAAAGGAAAAAAAGACATCTTTGGACCTCTGTTATCTTGTAACAGAAAGTGCAGGACCAGCATTATGATTGGTCGGGAATTCTGAGGGGTTGCTGGGCAGAATATAAGATAACTCCTGGGGGTCAGTCACAGCCTCAGAGACGATCCTATCATCCTGATTTGGCGCCACTATTAGCAAACAGTCTGTAAAGTGTGTTTTTTTCTTTGTAAAAGAAATAAAAGTGTCTTTTTCTTCAGAATCCGTGCCTCACTGCCGCTTTGATTCAGCGCTGACAGACACTGAAGATGCAGACAAACGTCTCTCAGTTTCCAGCAGACATCTCGTGTCTCCGGATTTGCTACAACAACCCATGGCTAGATCTCTACTGTACTAAAATAAAACAAAAAAACACACACACACTCACACACACACTGCGCCATTTTGCAGCATCTCAGGCTCAAAAACACATTTCACCCTGACACTTATCTGCAATTAGCCATGTTCGATGTTTGTCATGTGCAAACACTTAGCAGGATTTGACATTCATTTGATTCTAATGGGATTTTCAGTGGGGGTTTTGCCTGTAGGAACGTTGCCGTGCGAATGCATGACTGTTCTGAAGAAAACATTTGTCACTTGGGGACAGACTAAATTGGCATCATTTGTTGTTAAAGCAGACACTTGATGTTTTCCTCAGTAGGTTGGAGTGGATTTTGAGTTTCCTGTAAACCTTCAGCTTTTTCACGGGACCTTTCGCTCCGGCCTTTGTCTGCAGTCTGAGGGGTGATATCACCTGCACATGTTTACAATTAGCTGAATTGTTTCCCGTAGCGGTGCTTAAGTTTTACTCAGCCTCTTTAAAATCTGTATTTTCCAGATGGCCTAACATTGAAGTTTCTTTAAATACGACCCCAGTGCAAATTAACCTGCGCAGACTTTTATTAATCTAAAAACAGAGTCATGGAAAAACTTACAGGACCTGAAATCGTCTTTATGGAGGAGCCAGAGGTGGCCAGCTCTGCCTTTTAAAAGATTCTGACTCCGGCTCTGCTTCAACAGCTCCATGAACTGCATTAATTTCCAGGTTGTTGAATGTGTTGTGTTACATAAAAGCGCCCAGGTGACACTGTGTCTACCAAAATATAACCTGCCCTCGTGCTAAGAGACGCAGCAAACTGCAGAACACAAACTAGTGTGCAGCGCCGGTCAGCAGGAAAAGTGTGTTTGGGTCAGAGTGAAACATGCCCACACACTCTCTGCGTGGAGTTAGAGCCGCACTATAAAAGAAACCCAGGTCTATCTGACACCCACAGACACCAGCTATTTTGCATCTTTCCCGGCCTGGGCTGACAGACAGTTGCATGAGTATCAGCACGCTTACAGTACGGAGGGATAATTCTGTTATCATATGTGGCCCAGATTTGGAGCCCAACAATGCAGACTTAGTTCTGAGCTCTGTAAATCCACTGGTGAAATCTATCAAGTGCCGTTTTTGAAAGAGAGCTGTCACGGCGACGACTAGAGACAAAACTATGAAAGGCAAAGACGGTATCAGAAAGAGAAAACACCGGACGGGCACTTCAGATTTCAAAGGTCTTCTCTGAAAAAGGGGTTTCCTGAACGACAGCACGTGTTCCTCTAAAACCTGAATATATATATTACATATAAAACATGTTTATATATGGTTCCCTCTTTGCAGTTTTAATCTGCGATTGTAGGAGTATATCTCCAAACCTATGCAGTTATTTCTACTTCTGAGTCATGGCCATCCAGTATAACCTTTAATAACCTTACAATATTTGCTTATGGTTATACTATCCTGAATTTGTTGACCTGTTTGTCTCTTACAAAGTAATAAAGCTCCTCCTACTTTTTACCTTTGAGAGACTCAGGATTTCTTGAACGCATTTTCTTTATTTGTACTGTTTTTAATCAATTTTTTCAAACATATTTTTCTTGTAGGGCTGGGCGATAAAACAAAAATCTACTGATACTAAAATTTACGACAATAACTGACGTCATTTTGCTCATATCAGTATATTTGTTGTCAAAACGATTAATAAATAAAAGTTGTTTTTGGATGTGTGTAGGTAGGCTTTGGTCTCAGAGACGTGACTCCACTGAAGTAAACTAAATGAATGTGGGAGGGGGTGAGCAGCTTGTGGAGTAGTTATCGTCCACTTATCGTTATCGAGGTGAACTGCTCAATATATCGTGATATTGATTTAATGCCATATCGCCCAGCCCTAGAGTCATACCCATCCAGTATAACCTGAATCTTTTAATGATATTAGCTTATGCTACTATCCTACATTTGTTGAACTGTTTGCTTACAAAGTGATAAAACTCCTTCCACTTTGTACCTCTGAGAGTCTCAGGATTTCTGAAATGCATTTTCAATACTCACACTATTTTAATCCCTTTTTTAAAACATACTTCCTTGTCATAATTGTGCATAAAATCCACAGTAAATTACCGATACTGAAATATAAGACAATAACCAATGTCATTCTGCCCATATCGTTAAACTCAGTTTCAAAAAAGTAAATATATAAAAAGTTGTTTTTGGATGTGTGTAGGTAGGCTATAGTCTCATGTTTCTTTAAGACGCTGTCCTACATTGGAGATGTGACTCCACCCCATCCAGTCCGTAACAAAGAGGGAAAGACAGGTGAGGAGATGGAGGACGGTTCAAAAGTTGTAGCGGCTGAAGTAGACAAAGTTAATGTGGGAGGGGGTGAGCAGCTTGTGGAGTAGTTATCGTCCATTTATCATTATCAAGGTGAACTGATCAATATATCGTGATATTGATTTAAGGCCATATCGCCCAGCCCTAGAGTCATACCCATCCAGTATAACCTGAATCTTTTAATGATATTAGCTTATGCTACTATCCTACATTTGTTGAACTGTTTGCTTACAAAGTGATAAAACTCCTTCCACTTTGTACCTCTGAGAGTCTCAGGATTTCTGAAATGCATTTTCAATACTCACACTATTTTAATCCCTTTTTTAAAACATACTTCCTTGTCATAATTGTGCATAAAATCCACAGTGAATGCATCTTTTTCTAAAGGTACAAATTTGATTTTTGTTTTTTTGCAGTTGTTGCATTATTTTCCAAAATGCCACCAGATGACTCAGACAAAAGCAGTATTTTATCAGGTCCACATCTTCCTGATACAGTCGTGTTACTTGTGTTTTAGTTTTGACTTTGATGATGAAAATGTCTCGTCAGGATCAGACACAATATTAGAGTCGCCGTAACTGAGAAAAGCGGAGGTAAACCAGAACTCTCCTTTAGGGAGAAATTTTATGTTTTGTCAAAAGAGACTCGAGGCTTTTTAAAAAAGGGGTCGAACAGCTTTTGTAAGGTTTCTAAAAAAGGACGATTCCTTACTGTACGATTGTAAGACACTTATAATGACAGCTGTGACGAAGAGAAGTAATAACACCAACATTTCGACAACAAAAAGCCAAGATTTCACCACGCTAAAACGACTCCATGGATACTATCGCCGTCATTATGTTGCTGTAATCTTTCCTCTGCAATAAAACGCTCAAATGTTTTAACGCTTTATTTGCAAAAACAGTTAGATGAACAATGTGTTCCAGTTCTGAAACTGTCGGTATAAACCTCCATGAATGATGTGTCATTAATAACGCTCAGTGTGTACAGCACGCACACACACACACACACACACACACACTCTCTCTCTCTCGCTCTGCTGTATACGCCTGTAGGGCAGGAGTGCATTCCAGCGAGTGGAGCGACACCGCTCTTTATCCAGACAGAGGTGGAGATGATCCTCTCTCACAGCGGGGCCTTCCCTTTGTGTACATGTGTGTTTAGGGTTGTCTCGGCAACTCGGCTCAGCCCCGCCCTGAGCGCTGTCGTGCATGGAGGAGGACAGGATCCTGCTAGCGGAGCTAATAGTCTACCTGAGGTTTGGTTAAGTAGGCGCATGTGTGTGTTGAGCATATATGGCATCATCAAAGCACGCCAATAATTACAGAGTGTGGTTATTACTGTACGCGACTGTTATTTTCATTAACATTCACTTCCCGTCTCCGGTAAGAGTAAATACCCACCCACCAGTTTAATCACAGGTTCATTTCAACCCAATGCACTTATCTTCATGATATCATCAAACCCTCATAACCTGATGCGGGATGAGATATTTATTTTATGAGAAGCAGGCCCGTGGAGTAAATACAGACAATAGTGAAACTTACAATGCGCCCATTTTAAGACTACAGCATTAATATACCGCCGTGTACAGTGCAATGATCCACACAGAGATTCTGACACTTTGGTATTACAATAATAACCCCAGGCCTCTCGGCATGGCATGATACTAATAACATGGAACTGGTCAAGTCCAAATGAAAGCCTGTTTGCAGGTCTTTGCAGATTTACGTTGCATTGAAATGCAGGCAACCTTGGCAGGAAATAAGAGATGGGAAAAAGGCCAGCCTTTCATCATTTTCCCCAAATCAGAGGAGGAAATGAATATGGATGCCCTCAGGCGTGCGGGGAAGGAAATTCAGGGGCTGATGAGGTCCCTAAAGGATGCGTCTGGACAGTACCGGAACTTTTCAGCTGGGTCGCTGCCAGGGTGTGAGGGCTGCCATGGAGCATGTAGGAAACACATGCTAACACAAAGGCTTTCACACATACAAATACACACACACACACAAAAAGCTCAAACAGCCAGCAGTTACAGGAGCGTACACACACACACACACACACACACACACACACACGAGCACACTGGGAGTGATTAGCTACAGGGCGTGTAACCTCTCTGTTTTTTACTGTTACTTACAGAAACGGGGGAAACAGGTGAAGGAAATGTGGGAGGTTGGGACTCCGAGCCCTGATTGGATTGATTTGAAAATCCATGTTAGACTCACTCCATAGAGAACAAGAGTTTTTTTAAAAGCCATGTTAGGAGGTCGACAGATTATCAGTGTCAGCCGATATTTAGGGCTGTTCACCTGTATCGGCCTTTTATTTTACAGATAGTCAATAAAATTATGTCATTTGGCTCTGTTCTCGGTGTGTCTTTCCCTCTAAGTCTGTTTTCTCGCACCACTTATCAAATATCTGCATCAGTATCAGTCCTGAGAGAAACTAATATCAGTCATTGGTCTCATTGATTATCAATTATTGGCATCAGTATCGCCCCTAGAAAACAAAAATCAGTTGATCAACTATCAGTATCAGCTTTAAAAAACCAATATCAAACAAATCTCTGTTGTCAATTTTATGAACTATTATTCATCAGCACAAGTATCGGCCTTGAAAAGCCACCAGATGTCAGTTTTTTGCTCTCCTGAACTTCTTATTTTGGCCATCAGTATTAGTCCTGAAAAGCCAATATCAGTCAAGCACATCAGTATTAGCTTTTAAAAACCAATATCAAACAAATCTTCATTCTCAGTGTTATGAGCTTTTATTTATCGGCACAAGTATCGGCCCTGAAAAATCACTATCTGTCCAACAGTTATCAGCTTTTGGTCTCCTGAACTTCTAATTTTGGCCATCAGTACAGTCCTGAAAAGCCAATAATAGTCGACCAAGTACGGACTATCAATTATTGGCATCAGTATCGCCCCTGGAAAAACCAAAATCAGCCAATCACATCAGTATCAGCTTTAAAAAAACAATATCAAACAAATCTTTGTTGTCAGTATTATGAACTATCATATATCAGCACAAGTATCGGCCCTGAAAAACCACCAGATATCAGTTTTTGCTTTTATAAACTTCTTATTTTGGCCATCAGTATCAGCCCTGAAAAGCCAATATTAGTCGACCAAATACCAAAATCTCTTTACTGGCAACAGTATCGGCCCTGAAAATTTAGTATTAGATATCAGTTATATAAACAATATTAGTCTAATAACTATCAGCAAATATCATTATCAGTATCAGTGCTGGCACCTTAAATACAAATATGGGTCCACTATATATCAGTCATCAGTTTCATAAACTACTAACTGTCGGCATCAGTATCGGCCCTGAAGACCAATATCGGTGCTAAGTTTCGGCTCTGTGTAGAACTGTCTCCAGGTTGGCTTTCGCTGGATAAAAGTACCTGGGAAAGCCCGGGACTACGGCTCAGCAATTAATCAAATTTAAATATCAGTTACTTTTTTGCCTCCCAGCATCAAAACAACAAAATAATCAAGATTAAAGGATTACCGTGCCACCTGTCGTGTTGTGCTAATTTGTCTTAAGTGGCGAATGGAGGCCCCGAATAGGTCTAACTTCGACTTGTATTGACAGTAAGGAGGAGGAGGAGCCACATCCAGAGCTGCAATCTGGAATAATTAACATTGTCCCGGTGGGCTGACTCACCAAGGGGCTAGTGTTGTGTGGTACTGTCAGGGAGAGGAGCAGAGAGGAGGTGCATGTGTGTGTTAGTAAAGCAGAGGGATACATAGCTCTTTTTCGCACCAATGTGTCCTGTTTACTTCACTACAAAACAGGCAGAAGAGCCACAAAACCTGATAAAAAGTTAGCCGAGATAATCCACCTTGTCCCCCCTGGAAGTTGAGTGCAACAGATCCCCCACATCAACATCCAATTCTCAGAGGGAGTGAGGAATTCCTGGTTAGGGATTATCGCAGGGTTCAAAGGAGGCCATTCAAGGCTGCAAAGAGGAGCCGCTCTGAATGGGAAGTAACAGACTCCACCCCGAATGATGGAAGTGCTTACTACGACATAACTAATGTAACTTCTCAGAGTACTGTTTGCTGATTTAATGAGGTTTCGGCCCCACAAGGTCAGCTGCACCATTATCCTGTTGTTTGAGACCAACAGTGAAATTACACATCATTTGGTGCAATGTGCAGAGTTTGAGGCACAGCATACTATTGTGACAATGACCCGTCACTCCAGCCTCCAGCCTCCCGGAGCCCGACTGTCCCCCATTAAATCTGGGACACAATCAAAGCTGTTAGCAGGCGACTCATTAAGATCGACAGTCATCGAAATGAGACTGTTGGCTGTCATCAAGTAGAGGAAGAAAACTTAAAACTCTCATGTTAGAACAGCAGAAATCCACACACTTACAGCCTGGTATGGAGTTTTTTTCCGGACTTATAATAGTAAACACCATGAGGGGAATTTGTTAATACCAAAGGTGAGTGTCAGGAAAAAACTGGCGTAATTAAAGGGCATGGTGTGTCGGCGAACAGGTTTGTAGCTGTTTGCCAGGAGACTCCAGGCCTACATCAGCACCACACCTTCGCCTGTAGTTAGATCAACCACAGACGGGGTTGAGTCAGTGTTTTAAATATGGTGATCACCAACGTTTGGCTTCACTACCAGGTCTACTAGGTCCAGCAAATTTTCTTTTAAAATATACTTGGAGGTGGACGTACGGTAGACGTAAGTCTGGTTTATGCATCACAGGCTTGTATTAGGGGGAGACTGTAGGGCTGGATCATAGTCTACCTACACACATCCAAAAACAACTTTTATTTATTTATTTTTTTGACACCAAATATACTGATACAGGCAAAACGACAACGGTTATTACTGTACATTTCCGTATCTGTAAATGTTTGGTTTATCAACTGAACCTAATGCTTCTCCAAGACCCTCAACAAGAAGGCCGAAAACTTTGCTGTTGTATTTTTAAAAACTTAAAACTGTTGAGAGGAGGGTAGGTGTCAGAAAATTTTCTTTAGCACATATGTCTAATGAATAGGGCTGCAGAATAAATTGCAAAACTGTTTTATCCCTGAAATTATTTAACATGTGCACTCATGTTTTCTCACTCAGCACCTGTTAAACCGAAGCCTGGCTCTTGTGGTCATGATATCAGTAAATTTTTCAGTTTATCGCCCAGCCCTAGGAGATGGAGTCATATCAAATGAAAACATGAATACAAACATGAACCCTATCACTTTTTCATGCTAACACAAAGATAAGAAGCGATTACAAATTTTCAAGTTATATCGCCCACCCCTACTTCAGTGGTGCCCCATGTACAGAGGCTCACCACCCAGTTTCTGACTCTGTCTCTTGTCCTTTTTTTCATAAAAACCTCAAAACAATTAAAAAGTTTTCAAGCTCCTGTGATGAGTTTTCCATGTTGAAGAAATAAACTAAAAGTCATATTGATGCCTTTTCATGAAATACAAAAACAAACAAGTGAACTGTGATTTGTAATTTTCAACATCTGGAGCTGATACAAGAGGGTAGGTGTCAGCTCAGCAGCTAAAAAAATAACACTGTTTTAAGAATTTTGCCAGATAAGCACTGTTTTGTCCACTGGGGGCGCCAAATTTGACACAAATAAAAAGTTCCTTATGGAAGCTTTAACAAAATGTGTTTAAAAAATGCTGAAACTCAGCTCTAACTCAAAGTTTTTCCTTTATATTCAAATGTTTGTAAATGTTTTACCAACAATCCTGACTCTTAAAAGTGTTTTTCAGCGTTGAAGGAGGAGTGTAAGTCTGATACGGTCTAAGAAGCTTCCTGAGTTTGTACGTCTACGTCAGTTGACTTCTTTTAATCCCCAGATCTGGCCTCTCTATCTCACCCAAACCAGGTTTTCTGCTCACCAGACTCTTTCTAATTGTGATGATGGGGCAGATTATGCTCGTGTTATTTCCAGATCCGTCACCGCACCGCTGTCCTGCACGGGTCACTCTGTGTTAAAGTCAGGGCCTTTGGCGAGAGCGATGATCTGTGTGTGACCTCTGCTGCATTTTAGGGATGAATGGGCCTGGGGCGACAGTTGCCAGGGATACGATACACAGCACAAAGAGGACATGTCAGTCTCTGAGAGACAGAGAGCTGGATGGACAGGTAGATATTCAGACGGAGTAAGAGCTGGAAATAACAAGAAGTACTTTTGACAGAAGGACAAATGGCTGCAGAGTGAGAGACGGTAATGCAAATGAAAAATATTCAACTGGATTCCTTCTATATGTCAATTTTATGTTTAAATTCCAGCGCGTTGACAGCAGAGCAGCTTCGGCGCGTCAGGTCTGCATAAAAGTTTGAGATCTGGAAATCATCAAGCGAATGTTTCCATCTTTCTCTGACTTTGTACGAGCGCCGTGAGAACAATGAGACAGACAAGAAGACAGACAGGGAGAGGCAACTGCGCCGGACAAAATGTCTTTAGGGTTCCCAATAGACTCTGTTTCAGCAGACTGAATAGCTCTGCTGACTGCCACAACACTGACCTCCCACTGACACAGAGAAAATGACCACTTTCTACAACTTTAAAATGGCCTGGGGGGGAGCACCAGATACCAGCACTGAAAATACAACAGACAATTGCTGACTCAATGTTTGTCAGGATATGGGAAGGAGGAAAATGTGTCCTTGACAACTTAAACGGTTTTGGATTGAACACGACTTATTTTGACAGTTAGTTCTATATCAATGACTTTTTTTCTCAGGCAGACAAAGAAGTGAGCGTACTCGTGCGCTCACATACACTCCGAGACAAAAACAGATTCTTCAAAAAGGAGACTCTTGACGTATCGAAAACAAGCTCAGGAAGAGGGGAGGAAGAATAACCTTGTCGCGTCTGATGTGCACTCGTGAGGATGACCAGGCCCACGCAGGTTTCCTGTGACGTGCACACCTGTGTTATTATTATCAGCCTAATGAAAAACAGCAGAAACACAACACCATTATTTTCCTGCGCTCCCCGAGGTGCAATGCAGCCCTATTAGATCCTTCAGATGATCCATCTGCGCACATACTTGGCCTCACACGCAAAAAGCCATAAAATATGACTGTAACATATCGTACTATTATAGTTTGCTTTAAGAGGGCCTCCCCGTCACTCTGTTAATCTGAAGAATGCTGCTCTGGTTTACAAGTAACAGCTGAAAATCAAGCCCAGGAAGAAACACCGTCTTGTCCTGATAGGCAGGATGACTTACGGCTGGCCTGGCGAGCGACCTCTTGAATGTCTGGGGCCGAGATATATGATGAACAGACAAACGTGGGAGGACACAGAGTCCCTGAAATTCTTGAAAAAAGGGGGGGAGAAGTGATGAATCTCAAAGTGCTCTGAACTGTACAGCAAATGTGGACGAAGTGTAGTTACCGTCAGTGAGCTCATGGGTATTATGATGTGTTTGTAGACGTGTGTAACCTTGAAAATATGAGACAAAAAAACGGCAAATAGACTTCCTGATTGAGTTTCACTGGAGCTCCTAAATCTGTGTTTCTGGAGGGTTTTTCCAGCTGGACGCTCGAGTCGTTGCTCAATCATTTCTAGGTTAAGGATCATGAAATCTGGGTGACGATGACCTCACCCCACACCCACATTTGTGTGACGTGTCGGTGCAGTTCCTCCTGGCAGCCTTTGGCATCATGTTTTCTCTCAGTCAGACACAGTTGGACCATAATTAGACATGCTGCTTCCTGTACAAAGACCTCCCTGTGTAATATTAATCATGTGAGGATAAAGTTGTAAATCCATCCTCTGCGGAAATTCCCCCGCTTTCATGTCCTCTCAAAACGGAGAAAAGGGGCTCTTTCTTTTTACCGTCAGATGTCAGCAAAATGCGAGGCAACGCGGGCCTTGAAATCTGCAAGTTGTGGGGGTTTTAACTCCACTCGGAGGCTGTAAGAGAAAATAAAAGTAGACAAAAGAAAAGTGTCTGCCTCATGCCCCCGCGACCCGTGTGAACCAAGCCTCCATGTCAGCGCTGAAGAAATATTGCGGGCAGATTTCGCAGGGTATTTAGCGAAATTAGTTCATTTTCATGGAGTATCATGGCATATAAAATGCGGCAGAATAATATTTTTGGTTTCCCCACGTTCATTTTCTCCTCTAAATTATACCATTCGTCATGCGCTCGTTACAAAGACAGTCAATTTTGAACCAATTCCAATTGCCTCTAATTTTTAAACTGAAATAATACAAGATGCACATTTTTCATCCGCCTGACATCCATTGACTTTATTATTGTCTGGAAATGCCAGACTGTGGCTGAATAAACACAAAGAAAAGTCAACATAATTCACATTTTAGATGAAGCATATTCGGAGGTGTTCCACTCTCCCAGTTATCAAAGTCAAATAAGCTGCTGTTTCTTTTTAATACTTTTTCATTTAGGAGCTTTAAAAGTTGTTTATTTTCCCAGACAATAGCAGCAGATTCACTCGGAGGTTAGCTCAGCCAATAAGACTGATCATTAGAAGTAGATAGTGAGTGCATACAGACCCAGCCATGGGCTACAACACTGACATGTTGTGCGCTGCTCCTTAATCAAGTTGTAAGTACAACCGAATTATTCCACATTCATCAAGGACACCTAAGCTGTCACTGCTGTTTAATGAGTATCAATTAAGCTGTTTCAACAGACTAGCTCAGCACATACTGTAGACGCAAACAGGCAGGAGCAGCCCTGAGGAGCAGCTCCACGCTCTGCACCGAGGTGGATGAGGAGCAGGATTAGAGTTAAAACAAAAGGAGGTGTTCTGCGTTTCTATAATAGGTGACAGTGATTCACTCAGAGCTGAGTTGAGATGTAGGTTTTCTCACGGTTGACAGAAATATGGTTTCTGTGAGACACATCTGATCAATTTGACATCACTTAGCTGAACAAATAAGGAGAATAAAGAGACTTATCATTACAAATTCATACATTAGAGGAAATAGACATCAGGGCTGCAGGATACTGGAAGAGAAATGACATTGCACTGTAGGGCTGGGCGATAAACAGCTTAAAAAACAGTCCAAACATTTACATATTTGTTTTTTTAGCATCCCTTAAGAGGCATCTGAAAAATGTCTGACTAGCTAGCTACCTCTAGTTACCACTGCTTCTTCTTCGTGTGGCAAATTAGCAACTTGCGTAAAGACCTACTAGTTTAGCAGTTATCGTCAGTTCTTGTTTATTGAGTTAGAATACATGATCGCTCAAATACTCGTTTACTAAATACCGCTGAATGTTCAAATTACTTTCTAGAAATCGGCAACTTTGTCGTACACTCGTTAGCTTTTCTGGCGTCGCATGGATTGCAGGACAAGCTCTAAACTTTGAAATACTCCATGTTGGATTGTCTGCTGTTACTCAGGTTGGCACAGTGTCAAGAGGTAAAGTTGAATCTAGGGCTGGGTGATAAACCAGACGACCAAGATTTACAGATAACGAAATTTACGACAATAACCAACGTCATTTTGCCCATACAGGGCTCGACAGTTTCCCTCGCATTTGCGACTAAAAATAGATGTGTGCGAAATGTTAAGTGTATTTGGAGGCACATGTGCGCAAATATATCGGCCAAGGCAACAAATGTTTTTTCATGTAAATACCACGGTGAAGTTAATTTTAGGTTGGATATTCGACGGATATTCACCACGGATCTAACAGTGTCCTCCATTCTCACTCTCCATAATGGGAATAGCAACAGCAGCGCGGTTAAATCTACTCGGCACCCTCACTGTCAACGTTGGGTGTTGACTAAGGGACCGTCAATAAATTACAGCCTGATGTTCTCAGAAAAGGCTGTTTTCCTACAATAGCTTCCATGTCATGTGACCAATTGACCTAAAATTAATAATACTAAGGTCGGACAATAAGACACATCTATTTATTTCCGATAGAAGATTGAAGGTGGGGCTGGGCAATAAACTGAAAATTTATCGATACAAAATGTACGACAATAACCAACGTCATTTTGCCGATAATGGTAAATTCGGTGTCAAAAAAAAAATAAATAAATAAAAGTTGTAGTAGCTGAAGTAAATGAAGTTAATGTGGAAGGGGGTGAGTAGATTGTGAAGTAGTTATCGTCCATTTATCGTTATCGAGGTGAACTGATCAATATATCGTGATATTGATTTGAGGCCATATCACCCAGCCCTAATGCACTATGTTTTTCTTGCAACATCCAAAAAATACATGAAGTTAGTCTATCTATTAATCACTTTAATGTCACTTTAGTCAATCAAGGAAACTTCAACTTTTGAACCGTCCTCCATCTCCTCACCTGTCTTTCCCTCTTTGTTACGGACTGGATGGGGTGGAGTCACGTCTCTGATGTAGGACAGCGTCTTAAAGGGACATGAGACCATAGCCTACCTACACACATCCAAAACCAACTTTTACTTATTTATTTTTTTGACACCGAATATACTGATATGGGCAAATGAGGTTGTTTATAGTTGTAAATTTAGGTACTGTACATTTTTTATTTATCGCCCAGCCCTAAAGGAAACTGATCTCTCATTTGGAACAGTAACTGTGGTCTATCTATCTATCTGTCCCTCATGTTTTCCAGATAACCTGTGTTTGCGGCATGTTTCCCCTCCCCTGCTTCTAAAGAGCAGGTTTTTTCCTCACTAGATTATCTGGGATTAGCCGACAGCTGGCTGAAGTTTCATTTGGCTGCATCAAAGTGGTGTAAAAGCGTGACCACGAGAGCCAGGCTTCGGTTTAACAGGTGCTGAGTGAGAAAACATGACTGCACATGTTAAATAATTTCAGGAATAAAACAGTTTTACAATTTATTCTGCAGCCCTATTCATAGGATATTATTTTGCTTTTATTTTGAAAGGACAGGGAAAGTAAGGAAATGGTTTTATATCGTTTTTATCTTCTGAAAGCGAATAATTGCTCGGAAAAGTAGAACAATTTTACAGTACCAAGCACCTTCAGTGTCATCCTCCAGCATTAAAATCCAGATCACACCTCGAGGTGCCGCAGTCTGGATGTTAATGTGTTAAATAGGGTGCATGATCTCTGTGGACCCCCCGCCATGAGGAATAACACACTCTCTCTTCCTGTCACTTTATATTCGGTTTGACATTAAAACTTGTTTGCTGCTCACAAAGAAACGATCAAATGAGCCATTCAGGATCTGAAAGCCTCACTAATTAGAAAGCCCGAGTTGTTTTATCCTCTGAATCTGTGTTTTCATTCAGGGAGGAGTCTGTTAGATAACGACACTGAGAGAGCATTAACAATACGAGGAACAATTAACCAGCTAGCAGTGCAAGTTTGGTTTCTGCTTTAAATACAGACATTCAGACAACGACATGATCAGATATATAGGTTTATTTTTAACAACATTGGGTGGGACTGCAATTGAAGGTATAAAATGGAAAAAATTGTTTATTATTACATTTAGGAGGGAAATGTAATATTATCGTTAAGAGTGTGCCACTGTGTGTTAAAATATGATTTGTGATCGTCCAGTGTTGTTGTTTTGTTTCTGAATCTGGTTAAATGAAGGTAAAATTAATGAATATATTATAAAATTTACTTTAATTTTAAACTTAAAGCTCCTATGATTATTTTTAATCTGGTTATGATACAGGATTAAAATTATACTGATGCTACAAAAGCAAACTAGACCATTAGCTTCAAGATTGACTCTACTTTGTTCATATTTACCCCTGTCTAAAACTGCTCCTCGGTCACTTAAACTGCCAAAATAGATGCTTTTAAATATATTTTTATTAATTAATTTGGCTGCAAAAATGTAAGAACAAGAGTTTTTGATAAGTGAAGAAACAAGACGTGCTGGTTGATCCACAGGGGGCGCCATAATTTGCACAAACTAAAGGTTACTCACAGGAGCTTTTTTGAGTGATAGTTTTATACGATTAAAAGCTCCAAAACTCCAATCTTATCTCAGTAAGGCGTCTTTATATACCCTCATTTTACCTTCTGCCTCCCTACAAATCTGTTGTCTTACATTTGGCGAGCTCTCCAGAAGCTTCCTCCACTGTTGCCATGCTACTAAGTCTTAATCACAGTGTAAACCAGTGTTATTCGATTAAAACACTAAGCAAAATTCCCTCATTTGGTAAGTGTAACAGGTATAATGCTCTCTTCAAGTGATTCACCAATCTGTGACATCACAAATTGAGCGAGTCTAGAGCTGCATTTGAGTTATCTCCGATGTCAGATGTCCAAGCTGGGAATGACGTCACACCTGAGTTACCAGCGCCAAGTCCAGCGGAAACAAGATGGCTACGAAAGTTATTTTAGCGCTTGCCTTGTCCTTGTTTATATTTGGACAAGTGCTAACATAACTTTCGTAGATGTAGCCATCTTACTTCTGCCTCTGATTTTGCTTTCTTACAACTTGGTAACTGAAACGCTGGTAACTCGGGTGCGACTTCATTCCCAGCTCGAACTTCTGACTTCCGAGGAAACTCAAACGCAGCCTGGAATCACTCAAACATGTTAGTTTCACAATTTGACTTTCAACATTTCAACCTGATATTTGATTTTAAATCATAAAACCACCTTTTTGACAAAAGCAACTCTACTTGGTTCATGAAAATCAAACTCCACATTGTTATTTCTAACATCCATGCCCTGCCTACAGTGAGGGTTTAGTGAAGTTTGTATTTTCTGTAGTGTTAAATGCGGTCTATTGTTTAATTCTAAGCGCCCTCAGTCTAAAATCAGTGAATTAAAGGTGTTTAGATTGAGATAATTAAAGGTTGTCAAGCGCAAAATACCGTCAACTGCGATTATTTCTGCTTGTTTATTTTCAAACACTTAGACCACATAACATGGATAATAAATATAAACAAAGATCAGAAACACGAGACTCACTCCGAGCTCCAATATGCTGGAATTTTTAAATAATGCTTCATTTTTCTTTGGCTGGCTGATTAAACTGATTCATTCGGACTGATGATGTGCCAAAGCCATTTAAAACAAACCCACAATAGCTCATTACGAATCACTACGTTCTTGATTGGCTGTAATAACGAGTGAATGTTGGAGAGTGTTTTTTTTTTTTCCTCTCTCGGAGTGTGAGTGAGCGGTACAGAGTGTGAAAGCCTCGGTTTGACCCTCGTACAGAGGAAGGAGATCGCAGGCCAGCGAGGTCAACAGAGCCGGTGAAACATTGACTTGATTCATCAAATTAGGTCCTATGTAATTGCGCCGCATGACGACTCATAAACCATGTCGGCTATAAAGCTGCCAGGGAGCCATCAGCCGGGGTGCTAAATGAAGTTACAAAAGGTGCAAGGTTCACAACTTCATACAGTGCCGGAGTGGAGTGTCCAGGAGCTCTTCTTCTTCTTCTTCTACTCGTCACCTCGCTGAGACGCATCTCCAGGGCGTTTTTTTTAATCGAATCCTCTTAAAAGATGAGTTGCATTAGCTTACATTAGCTCTGGTTATCTTCCTGTTTTTGTAGTAATATGTGTCGCTCATATTAAATTAAAACCTGTTTCCTCATTTTGCCAGGAAATGAGGTTCTTACACCAATAATCCTTTTCATCCTGATTTGACTCATCAGCTTTAGAGGAGGGGGGAAACGCACAAACCGACATGGCGGAGATTATTTAACATAAGTGTATAAAGACTGCTCAAAGCGTCGCTATCACGCTCGCGTTTGAGACTAAACAAACACGTTTCCGAACCTGAAGAACACCTGAGCGCATATTTAACGCGCTGACCTCTCGGAGCGTGCAGTGTGAAGGCAGTTTACCTTTGTAATTGTTACAGATCACACCATTAGCACAATATTGTCATAGCTCCTGCTCCTGCAGTCGGTAGCAGCTGAGGGTTAATTTGCATAATAAATCTTAATTGAAGCTCATTAAGGATTTGATAAGAAGCAAATCAGGTACACCGCGGATAACTTAAGATTAATGTTTTCGCTGTTTTTTGGCGCCGGCGTATCGGGTGGAAATGTCACATTCATTCTGGGCGTTTTGCATAATTGTGAAGTATGCTATATGACTTTTATTTAGCATGTAAAGACGAGGGAAAAGAGTGAATCTCTTTATAGTTATGCTTTGTATTAACATCCAACGCGCTCCTGAATAAAAGCAGCAAATGAACCGACACGTCTGAACACAGGGATTCATTTTTTCTTTTTAATACGACATGGCAACCTTATTCGAAAAGCCTCTCAGGTTAGGTTAACCTGATCCGGCTGTGATTGTTTCTTAACCATATGGCCAACATGTTTGCCCTCAGACTATTCATGTAGGTCAACAACTACAAGATGGATGTCCTCACTTCAAACTCCGAACAAAAGGGGGATGACGTGCTCCTGACGAAACTGCAGATGATATAAATTACAAAGACATAAACGGCGGAGGGATTGTCTATCATTAGGGTAACACAAAGCACATGAGGCGCGGGGCGTTTTTTATCATAAAGCAGAGGAAACGTTACCATACCTCCTCTGTGTAATCAATAGCAGACCCACGGTGCTACTGTATTAACCGGGAGCTTGCCTTGCATTCTTATCCTCTAAATCCACATAAATGAACAACCCCAGCTATAAACTCTCCTCCCCATTTCTCCTCTGTAAATCATTATATCTGTTGGGACCTGGACAAAATACCATAACATAATTTCTTTTGTACTTGGGACGTCTAGCAGAAATAATGAGTTTTAGCCCGCTCGCAATAAACTCTCCCAATATTCCGGTTATTGTCAGACTTAATGAGTGAAAAAAAAAAAAAAAACATAACAAGAAATAGTCTCTTTTTCTGCAGTGATGATCACATGGAAACATTATCCACATGAATCACCCCAACGGCATATCAAATTGTGTCATTTGCCTGGAAACTAGTGCAGGTCTCAGAGGGAAGGCAAGGTGAATGAGCAGTTGCTGTAGAGAGGTGCAACACTGCACAGGCACTTGCTTTGAGACCAATCATAACAGGCTGTTTTTTCCACCGCGGAGGAGAGAGATCACTGTGCTGGAGGGCACAGGAGTCTTGGTTCTTATCACCTAGACAGTGCACCACCCTGTCTGCCTCTCACGCAAACAAAAGCCTTCGTAAACTATTAGCTATCTACACCTGTCACCTTACTGGCATGCAGGAGAAAATGCACTGAGATAACACCGAGAAAACCACCTGACTTCATATTACTCTCTCCTCGGTTTTTTCCCCCCTCTGTAGTAAGAATATGCTGCATGAAAAGTAGCTGATGAGCAGAAAGTTATTAAAGGGGATCTCTACGGGGAGCGCCTGCAAGTTTGAAAAAAAGAGGAAAAAAACTGCAAGCATTGCAACAAAGTGTAAGTCTACCGTTTGGTTGGCTCATAAGCCAGTGAAAATTTTAGGGCTGGATGTGATCAAAACAGGAAGAAGGGCCTGTTGACGCCGATGCAAAGAGAGGAAAGTGCGAAGATAAACACCCGATAATGATTTTTATTTATTTGAGGAGGAAATTCGCACTTGAGAGCTGACGAAGCAAACTGACACAACTACAAACTACAACAGCGTGATTCTAGTGGCATAAAGAGTCCTCCAGAAGTAAACTCACCCTAAATCTTAGACTCACTTTTTTTATTATTATCCGCTGATCATGTGCAGCACTCTTTTCTGTTTATGTCAATGACAATTTTTAGGCTAGCCCCGATAAAAACAAACAAAAAATGTAAAAATCGATCCCTAAAAATGATTGGATTCATTAGTGATAAAAATATGCACAAGTTGGCTCATAAGCCAGTGAAAATTTTAAGGCTGGATGTGATCAAAACAGGAAAAAAACGGCCTGTTGGCGTCGATGCAAAGATAAACACTCGATCATGATTTTTATTTATTTGAGGAGGAAATTGGCACTTAAGAGCTGACGAAGCAACCATGCACTGCTATGAATCACCACACTGTATTCAAGGCTGTGTTTTACATTGAAATGCATGTGTCACAGTTTTACACATGCACCAGTTTTTATTTTTAAAGAGTTCTGCAAAGTAAACTTGCCCTAAATCTCAGACTTAGATTTTTTTTTTCATTCACTCTTTTGAAAATTTGCTTCAATTATTCTGTTTAAGTCAATGACATTTTTTAGGCTCACTCCAATAAAAACAAACAAAAAAAATATGCAAAAATAAATCCCTAATAATGGTGTGTTTTTATTTATGGATTCATAAGTGGTAAAAATATATATTTTGGATATGCACAAGAGCTGACTTAGCAACCATGCACTACTACAACTCACAACACTGTATTCATGGAGGTGTTTTACATTTTAGTGTATGTGTCACGATTTTACACATGCACCAGTTTCTATTTTAAAACAGTTTTAAGTGGACATCAGACATGATCAAAACTAGACTTTTTTTAATCATCTTGTGATATTTAAACCTCCAAAAAATGTCTGTTTGGTTGTCTTTTTTACAAAAATACTTAAAAGCTGGATTCGATCAAATTTTTAAAACAGCCTCGTTGACGAGATGCAAACCAGAGAAAACTGCAGATTTTATTTCCGATCATGATCATCTTCACATGTGGACTCGTTTAAAATCACAAACTCACACTTAAGATATGCAGGAAGAGCTGACAAAGCAACCTTACACTGCTACACAAATCCACTGACTGTTTTGAGTGTCATTTTGCATTTCTCATTTCAGCCACAAAGAAGAAGAAGAGCTTTTAAGTCGCTTTTTTCCCATAATTTTGCAATATTTTACAAACTGAAACAATCAAAAGGGTTTCAGTCGTTTATCCCAGCTGTTAAATATCTCCATCAGTGATGCACTCTCTATCAATTCAGGCTTCTAGCTCATACTGCAGCGTGTACTTTCTACTACAACTACAATAACAATGTCTGCTAAGTGTGTCTGCTTTTAAAGGAATATACCGTCTTTTTTTTGTTTGTTTAAAACGTCCCTCTTTTTGTGATTTGTTTTTTTTCCTGCACCTGTAAATCAAAGACAAATTCAGCCATTTGCTTGCAGAAAATAGACGATAAAGTTGACTTAATTTTTGGTTTATAACCTAACTCTCAGCTGCACGTTCAATAATCTAGTCTCCAGTATAGTTCAGCTATAAATGCCTCTACTTGGCTACTTCACCTGTAACCCTGCACACTCTTCTTTTACATGTTCATTGATTTTTCTAAGTAGAAGAAGAAACTTAAACTCGCAAAATGATGCAAAGTTTTGATTCCAGCCTCTGAAGACAAGCAGGCCCTTCAAATCCTGTGAATGAAGGTCCAGTGAAAGAGTATCACCCTCTTCTCGTGGTGAATTCAAAACAATGGCAAAGCAAATGATGGATTAAAAAAAAGAAGACATGTTGTGTTAATGGCTGCAGACAAAAGAACAGTGTGCTAATGCAGTAGGGGGGAAAAAAGGAGGTGGTAATCTGGTATTAAAAAATAAAATAAAATTAGACCCCTTGTCTTTTCCTTCCCTGCTTTTGTCACTCAAAATGGACTTCCTCTTTCTACCTAAACTGGATAAACAACATCTGCCTTGATCGTAGGATGTTTTCTGAACAAACCACTTAGGAGGAATTCCTGCTAGCCAATTCCCACAAGCTGCTGTCAGTCACTGGCTGGCACTGCAACACTTAATGCCTTTGTCTGTTCTCCAATTTATCTTGTTAACAGCAAATTGGGCTAACGGTTTGAGGCATGGAGCTATTGTAAAAAAAAAAAAAGAAAAGAAAAGAGAAAGAGAGAGAAACAGTAAGAGGAATACTCCCACGGCCGCTAAAATAACATATGGCTCCCTTCACTCAAAAATGCATCCCCTGCACTTATAGGGCTTTAGGTTTACACCGTATATAAACCTGATGCACAAATTTCATCCAGGAATCTGCAGCCTGATAGCTCTCTGTCTTAGAGCAGCTTTCCCAGTGATAAAGCAAAGGTTTAGTGCATCCTCTCTCCTGCACCGGTGAGTAATTGGCATTTTTAAATTACCACACAAACCATGTATGCATGCAAAGGGAGTAAATCAGATACAACTGGCCTTTACTGGTGCGTCTGTGGTCCCACGTTTTACAAATACGCCTATTAATAATACAGGTCCCAGAGGAGATTACAAGCACCCCGGATGCAAAATGTCCCCAGAATTGATGTTTTTTTTTTTTTTTGCTTTTGCTTTTCAAATACCACCAAGAGAGGAGGCTGCATCTTTAAGAGCCAACAAAAAAAATGAAACCTATTCCTTAGCATCTTCCATGCTCTTATTTCAATACTCCTCTCTCCTTGTTCCCCCTCCACACATCATTAAACATATTATTATAACATGACTGTCAGCCCGCGTCTCTCTTCGCTCCATTCTTGCTCTGCCAGGTAATCAATTTGTCGTCACTCTCTGTAACCCCAGTAAAGTCATCAAGTGAAATGAGTTACAGCTGCAAAGAGCCTTCAAGAATACAGGAGGAGGGGAGGAAGAGAAAAAAAAGAAAACGCGAGAAAAATGACAACACAGCCCAGGAATATTCCACCGCTTGATAGCACATCCCAGGTCTTGAAGATGAAATATTAATGCACAATTTGTTTATCTGCAGGCCCACATCTCTCCGGTGCCGAGCTGTTAATTTTCTATCGGCACAGACAACGGATCAGTCAGTCATGAACTCTTCACAGCCATTACCGGGAGACATTTTGATTAAGTATTCCTAATGTAGTGGATAGGAAAGAATGAAAACACTCTGCCTGCCAACTTTTGATTGACCATTAAGCCACTGATGAATGTGCCTGTCAAAGAGGAGACAATTACCTCAACAATGAAGAAACTCTTCTGGAAGGCTTATTTCTCTATAGGGCTGACACATTTACCAGAGTACAGGCGAGGCAGCTGAGAGCGTGTAAAGGGATCACTTAGGCATCTCCTCAAAAAAGTTCACTGAATAAGAAAGCAGGGGGGCTTTGTTTTGAGGAAAAGAGGGCTGTTTGGAGCCTGAAATGTGGGAAAAATATTTAGTGCGGGACTGTATGCCAACGAGCGCGTCTCTGTGTGTACATGTGTATGTGTAAACTGAGAGTGTGCCGAGCAGATAAGGGTCTCAGTATCTTAAGCGGGTATAAAGAGACGCTATTATTGGCAGAGAACAATCGCCATCTGGTTGCTACATCCGCAACCATAATAAAGACTGATAACTTCTCAACACACCACAAGCGAGTAATTGCATCCTCCGTACAATGAAATATGATTGATCAATCTGGTTCAGGCCACAGTCGCCGTCATGACGGAGGGCAGCTTTTTGGGAAGGCTGTGACTCACGTCGAAGTGGGGAAGTCGCAAAAGAGGAAAGGTCAAAGGTGAGACAGGCGTTTTCGGGAAAAGATGCGCCACGAAAACACACTCCTTAAAAATCAGATTATTAATTCACTCATGCGACAAAACAGTCTCATAAATATACGCTGTGTTTTTCTGAATTAATCTTAAGGTGTGTGTGTGTCTTCCTGTCTTCTCAGCATACACTCGCTGCATCTGTGTGTGTGTGTGTGTGTGTGTGTGTGTGTGTGTTAATGTGTGTGAGTGAGTGAGTGAGTGTAACCCATTCTCCATTTGTCCATAAGATTATGAGGAGTTCATACAGAGTTCATCTGCTACGGATACAGCAGCTCCACATCTTTCAGCCCCTCTCTCTACACTTCATGCGGGTCAAATCAAACACGACCAGGGAGGTTTTTTTTTTTCTCCTTTTCAACTCTGAGCGTTTTTTAAAAAACTTGGACTTTGTGATCAATGAGTGACTAAACGCTTCCTGACATGATAGTGGATTATCTGAGGGAAACTACGCGGCTGTTTGTTGTTCTTCTAAAACCCTGATAAACTGTTTACCTCAGTGTTTTTGTAATGTACCTCTGAGTAGATGTGGATGCTGCAACTTCTACCTCCTATTTGACTTTCTCTGGGGGTCCCAGGCCCCATTAGAAGACCCCCTCCATTGAAAGGATAATATATTAAAATACAATAATGCGTCCAGAATGTTCACTAAAGCACTTCTACAGTTATATAACCAAACCAAACCGACAAAAACCTGCTCACACGGGACATCTCTCCACATCCAGGGGTCTAAACGGGGGTCCCACATGATAAAAGTTTGAGAGGGGGGAAACCCTGTGTCAAAAGCAAGGAGCATAACAAAGCGAACACACGCATATCACACTCATTCAGAGCAGAAAAGAGAGGAAAAATCGCTTACCCGCAGCCCGTTTGGGCGCCTGCTGTTTCCTCCGTGGCATTTTTGGAGTCGCAGTTCACTACAGTGCCCAGGTGAAATCTGAATGCGGGCTACGATAGTCCATGCATAGAGAGAGAGAGAGTGTGTGAGGCTTTATTCTGGCTCTCGGAGTACTTCGGGCTCTCTCCCTGTTCAGAAAAATCCAGTTAGGAATCGTTTTCAGCAGGAAGGAAACAGATGTGAAATCGGCTCTTTCACCTTCTCCTTCTTCTTCCTCTTCTTCTGCTTCTTCCTCCTCCTACGGGGGGCGAATCGTCTCCTTTCACCATCCGTTTTTGTCCATCAGCGCCTTCATATGTTGATCGACGTGTGTCAGTCAGTCCTGCGGGCAGTTTTTCACCAGACAATATGTGCAGGCGAAGCGCGTAAAAAGCGTTTTGGTGTAATGGTTACAGTATATTACGCACGGTGCAGGCGAGGGGGAGAGGCGATGCCAGCAGACATCGATCCATAGAACAAACTGAACATTAAAAACTCCTCCCTCCTCGCCTGGACTTGATGATGGCAGCGAGACATTTGTTACACTAGATAAGCATGAGTTTATTAAAGGAACAGAGGCCAGGGAAAAGGAGAGAGCAGCCCGGGCTCCTCTGCTGCTGCCGCTGCTGCTTTCTATCACTCCGGGGCTGCTCGCTGCGTTTTCAGCCTGCTTTTTCCCCCAACATACCAGCTTCCGCTTTTGCTCGTTGAATGAAAGACATAAAGTTTGTGGGATTTGCTGCAGGTTTTGAATGAACCGCTGCGTTCACGACCGTCAGATTTGCTGCGACTGAATAAAAGGTTGAATGTACGGAGGCAAAGCTGTGAAAACTGACACCGATCTGATCCCAGGAGTGTTTTAAAACAAAATAAAGAAGATTTACATCAGATTCAACTCGGTAAACCAGATTAAAAACGCTTAGTTTTAGTTTAGGGTTTCATTTTTTAACATTGGTGTATTCTTGGTTCAGGTTTGGTGTATACAAGCTGTGGGGGAATTTGACAAAAACAAGACAAAAACCAATCCTCTCATAAAGTCAGGTAACTTTAATTTTCCCTTTGTTTTAAGTGGCCCTACTTAGTCTGATCGATCTATTATTTTATCTTTATCTTTGGTTTAATAATGCAAGTTAAGTTCATCAGTCCAACTGAATAAATCAGACATTTTATTCAGTTAAATACATTTAACTGAATAAAATGTACGGAGGCAAACCTTTGAAAACTAACAACGATCTGATCTCTAAGGTATTTTACAGACAGAAACACAAAATAAAGAAGATCTACATCAGATTCAACTTGGTAGACCAGATTAAAAACGCTTGGTTTTAGATTTCATTTTTTTAACATTGGTGTATTCTTGATTCATGTTTGGTGAACAAACTGTGGGGGAATTTGGCAAAAACAAAACAAAAACCAATCCTCTCCTAAAGTAAGGTCATTTTCTCTATGTACCCTTTCATTTTTCTTTGTTTTTAGTGGACCTACTTAGTCCTTTCTTTGCAAATTAAGTTCATCAGTCCAACTGAATAAATCGGTTAATGTACGGAGGCAAACCTTTGAAAACTAACACCGATCTGATCCCTGGAGTGTTTTACAGACAGATACACAAAATAAAGAAGATCTACACTCGATTCAACTTGGCAGACCGGATTAAAAACGCTTAAAAACTATCATTTTATTGGTTCATATTTGGTGTACAAGCTGTGGGGGAATTTGGCAAAAACAAAACAAAAACAATCCTCTCACTTTCTCCTCGTAGCCCTTCATTTTCCTTTGTTTTCAGTGGTCCTACTCAGTCTGATCAATCTTATTAAATCTTTACCTTTGTCTTATGCTAACTTTAAATCTGGTCGCTAAGCAGCAGCTTTTGGAAACCAAACCTCAGAGCAGGTTTGTTATTTTGGTCATTGTGCTCTCCTCTGCAACTGCAACATTTTAGTGCCACAAACACACACATTACATTTTCCTATTAGCGGTTTTTCTCTGTGAGTGTTTTAAATTTCTCATGTTGTGATTGAGATAGATCAATAATAAACATAAAAACACAGTTAATCAGGCCCAATACCTGGACTTGGACCAAACTGGTATCACCGTCATCTTTACTAAATAAAAACATTTTTTTTCTATCGCCAGGGGAAGCAAATCAAATCTAAATGTGACTTTGTTTTGCTTTATTCTAACCTGAATGTTTACCTCAGACATCCAGAAGCCACTAGTGTCGATACTTCCCAGAGTCCAGTATTTTTTATCTACATTTATTCATCGAGAGAATTCACTCAAGTTTACTTATTTGTCTCATTTGTACGTTAAAATTAATCGCTATATCCTGTCAAATAGAAACAAAAATAGCCTAATATCGACTATCGGTATACCTGCTCTGACATTATCGGTATCAACATCCGCAATAAAAAAAAAAAACACTAGTTGTGTCTGCACTTTTAAGTAGCCGAGCTTGTTGAGGATTCCTAAAAAATCGTTGCTAATATCCTTTAGGCGACTTTAGCGCCTATTTCATTTTGCGCCATTATCAATTAGCTTTATTCTTCGGTCTGATTAACAGAAAAGAGACGAGAGTTTGAATTTGTGTTTCCAAAATTCTACTATATAACATTCCTTTTGTTTCCTGCAACACTTTCAAAATAAAAGTCTGACATAATTTACTTAATCTTGGATCAAACAATTTATAAGCAGCTCATTTTTATGTTTTTGAAAAATATTTTTTAGGCGATTTTTGCCTTTTTTATTGAAAGTTCAGGGTGAAATGTGTGGCGATAAAGGGGGGAGGACATGCAGCACATGGTCGCGGCCAGACTCGGGGAACGTGTTCCCCGCACACGGGACAGGCTAACCCACTCGGCCAACTGCGCGCCACTAAAGCAGCGCACTTTTACAACTTTGAGGCTGAAGTGAAGGAAATTCAAGAAGAGAGAACAACGGATGTTCACGACGACGCTGCTGCACAATTAAACACAGTCCACGTCGCTTTTCTTCACGAGAATCATCATCATGCAGTCAAAGAATTATTGTTTTTATCACTGCAGGCCCTATAATGCAACCTCTCACCGCAAGCTGCAGCTGCTGCCAACGCGCTCTAATGTTCTACTTCCTGTGTGTAAACAAAGACAGACGACTGGTGTTTCTAATGTTAGTCATTCTCTGCTCATCCTGTGTCAAACAAACTGTTTTCATACTTTTACAGCAGCCAGTTAACCGGTCAAACAGAAGAATCAATAATAAAGTCAGTCTAGGATCCTAGATTTCTACTTTTTGACGGTGTACTCAGTATCTAAGTGAAGTTGTCTACGGCCTAAACCTTTAACTTAGGTTATCAAATACTCCACTACAATATCCCAGCCTCTCTTTCTCTTTAAAAGCTACTCATGACCTAATCAAATCTGAAGTTGGAGTGATGGATGACTTCATTTCAGAGAGACAACACCCCTCAGAGATCCAGGCTCGCCCCGGATTACAAATGGCTTCCTGATAATATTCCATCACCCCATTTTGTGTCTGTCACTCATTTCGCCAATGATAGCAGAGACCTCCCGTGAACTCCACCTGAACCTGAGCGATCAATCACGGCTCCGATCAAGACTGAGCCATACCTGCCTGACAGCTCTTAACACCCCGTGTGTACACAAAGCGAGCGTGTGCGGTGACAAGTTACACCGGCGCCCAACGCCTTATCTCCCCTCGGATGGCCTCCGCCGTCACCGGCTGCGTCTTCCCGCCAAACTTCATCTGCAAACTTCCTGATTAGCGCTTTAACTCCAAACTTTTCTCTTACCGCTCATGCGTCAGTGTCGGCGGCAGATATCCTGGTGCAGATGGTGGAATTTGTCATCCCTCACGTCTTGATGAGCTTTTCCTCACTCACATGGCTGCAACTCTCATACCTGGCTGCTCGAGGATTTTCCGGGATACAACTCCAACAGATTTCGCTTTCACTGTGATCCTCAGCTGTAACAAAATGTGACAAACATATGTCTTGTTAGTGCTTTTTTCCCTTTTTTTTAAAGCCACCTGTAGCTGCCTTTTGCATAAAAAGACTCGGCTCACACGTGGAGAGAGAAGATGGAAAACCTAACTCATGTTTGTGAACTTTAGCGGCAGGTTCATGAACCTGAAGAGGAGATGAAATCATAAATTTGATTTTGAGAAATGTCAAATTCGTCCAAGTTACACAAGCAGATGTTTCCTGAGACCTGAATTCTTTTTATCTGATCAGATCCCATCGAGAAGTGGAGCTGAACGGGAAGCCGAGTTTGTACATTCTTTGGATGTTTGTTTTGAGTTTTTCTCGCCCCCGTAAGCTCCCGGACAGAACGAGTGCCCACATTCTTTGGAAGTCACTGCTGGCACTCCTGGAAGTGTCGAGAAAGTCGGCGTTTTATTTATTATTGACAAAAACAAGCTCTGAAAAGTGTCTTTTTACAACAGTGGGAGAATTAACCTCTTGTCATATCAGCTCTGAGAGGCTTCGATTCATCTTCGCTGTCTGTTCTGGACGCTTTGAGGAGCGGAGATCAGGTTAACCTTGAGTGTTAACACCTCACATACAGTCAGTGTTGCGGGATAAAGTCCAGGACAGACAACACAGAGAGTTATCAGAGAGAGTCAGACTCTGTTATGCGAGTATCTGAGTCTAAATGATGTGAGTTATTGCCGCTGATAAAGGCCTGCAGACTTAATAAGATTAAAAATGATTTACTGTGTTTAATTCTTGTACAGGCTCTGGGCGAATCAATCGCGAATCAGCCTAAACAGCATTAAATCAAGTTTCACAGCTATTTTGAGTAATTCCCTGAAATGGCAGTGATGCTGATAAAGGTCCCATTTATGTTTGACACCCTCTGTTGATGTAACTGCAGGTATTTTTGGATCCTCGTATTGACAGGCAGAGGTTTTCAAACTTTGATCCAAAAGGTGTCAGGTTGATCATGGATCAGACAGCTCGTGTCCTTTAGTTTGTATGTTTGATATATAATTCTGTCTTTGTTGTTTTTTAACTGGATTAGTTTTACAGTCGTGAAAGTGCACATGAATCTTTACTTTTTTATAAAGGAAATCATATAAATGGGTTCTGTACTTTTCAAAATAAGAGACAGGTCATTTTTAAAGGGTTATTCCACTATTTTTCTGATGCTGAAGTGACCCTGAACTCAATGAGAACAATCTAATGACTATTCCTATAAAAGCTCCTGTTTGTGTAACACTGGCGCCCCCTGTGGACAAACTAGTCTTTGCTTATCTCATCTGGTAAATGACTTTTGGCAGTCAAATTTATCTATTACCCCTTCCACCAGTTACAGACATTAAAAACTATATAAAAATCCTCAATCTTGTCTCTGAAGATCTTGTTTGCTTTTGGACATAAAAAACAAAAAAAGCAAAACAAAAAGTAAACATCACTGGGCTTTAGTAGGCATGTTTGGTATATAAGTCTGCTTTGTTGTTTTTTAACTGGATTAGTTTTACAGTCGTGAAAGTGTACATGAATCTTTACTTTTTTTTACAGGAAATCATGTAAATTGGTTATGTACTTTTCAAAATAAGATACAGGTCATTTTTAAAGGGTTATTCCGCTATTTTCCTGAATGTAATGATGCTGAAATGACCCTGAACACACTTAGAACAATTAAATGACTATTCCTATCATGTTTCTTAAAGCTCCCGTGAGGAACTTTCAGTTTGTGTAACACTGGCGCCCCCTGTGGACAAACTAGTCTTTGCTTATCTCATCTGGTAAATGACTTTTGGCAGTCAAATTTATCTATTACCCCTTCCACCAGTTACAGACATTAAAAACTATATAAAAATCCTCAATCTTGTCTCTCATGATCTTGTTTGCTTTTGGACGTCATGAAAAAGCATCAATATGAATTTCAGCCGATTTCACAGACGTCCAAAATCTCCACACAGGAGCTTTAACATATCTGCAGTATGTCTCTGCAGCTGGTGGCTCTTTCCCTGCCTGTCGCTTCCTACTCCGTCGTCTGGACGGGGGCAATAAAGGTCCAAAAATGTGACTGAAAAAAGCAAAACAATAAGAAAACATCAGGGTCCTTCAGTTAGCATGTTTGATATATAATTCTGTCTTTGTTGTGACTCTTCTTCTGTCCTCTAAAAATCCAGAGATGGTCGAGACTAAAGAAAATTAAAAAAATACTTAACACTAACTAACCAACAAACCGACATTATACGGCAGCGTGTTCTTTTTTAGCTCGCCTCAGCTGGTCAAGAGGTGTTTTATTTTCCTCTGAAAGTTAATACCAGCTGATAAAAATAACTCTGTCTTTTCCTTCCGTGTCAAACAGAGAAAAGTGAAGGACAATACTGCAATTAAGCTGTTTTAGTTCTTTTTTTTCTCATCTCTGACATTTGTGTCTGTCTCCTCTCTCCCTCTCCCTCTCCCTCCCTCTCTCTCTCTCTCTCTCTCTAACATTTCAGTCAGATTTAATTGGTTAGATGTGAGCTCACAGAGTTCAAGTATTTCAAACTGTATTCGAGAAAATCATTGGGAATGTAAATTGACTTTTTCATATCCAAGATATCTCTGCAGGAATTGGATTTTTATTCCCAGTTTAATAAAGATTAAGAAGCTCTTTATAATGTATTTATATATTAAACACTGATTCATATTAGACAAAACATCCAAATATTAAACCAAGAAGCTTTTTGAAGATCCACATTGGTCAATATCTAGTGGACAGAAGTCTGTACTCGACCTGCGACTGTCTCCGATATCATCCGACTGTTTCTTTTACATGTTATTGTGCTCCTCTTTAGTTACAGTCTATGGACAGTAGAGAGTCTAATTATAATCTGTAGTCATGATAAAAGGATGACAGCCTACGAAACCCAAACCCGTCTTTAATCCGTGGATAAAATTTCATGTACAATAGACAGCCGGTGATTGAAGTCTGGTTTTACAGCGTTCAAAGCTGAACAACAACATATGCATACAGTCCAAAGCAGCTGCTGGATTCTTGAGATTTGATTCATGTGATACTTGTGAAAAACCTAAAACAAAGAGCTATTACTAAATCAGAGCTTGTCTTCAAAAAATAGAAGTTTTTTAGATGTGTGATTGACAAGCGGTTAAAAATAAATTGAACAGAGCTTGAGAAATAGTGCGGCGATATAATATTACAAGCCTTAATGTGCGCTCCTTTCAAGGGCAGGGGATGAAAAACAAACATCACATGAAACAAGACGGTAGTAATTTGAGATCATAGAAAACATACAAACATCATTTAAACTCTCTGTAAATAAAGCTTTACGGTGACGACATTCGAGAGTTTTCAGAAAAACAGTAAAACGCCGTAAAATGAGCGAGCATGTCACGTAAAAAAAAAAAGTCATTGACGAACACAAACAAACAAAGGCTATTGATGGTTGTGCACACAGTGGCACAGTGTGGTCCCGCCCTCTGTAAGAAGAAGAACACAGTGCAGTTGAAAGTAGGTGAAGGAGCTGATGTGAGAGTTGCTGTTGTTGTTGTTGAAAGCGGAGTTAAAGGAGCTTTGTGGGACTCAGCGTGTTTGTCCTCGGGGCTGAATGTAACAGATGACAGAGATCATTGGAGCTTTTTTCCACATCACTCAGAACTTACTCCTTTTCACTTTTTTTGTAGTGTACTATGGAGACACAGACACCATTGTTGCACTGTTTGTACCTAATGTTCTTGACAAGTGGGTACTAGTCGTTTTCCTTTTGACAGGTGTTCGTTAATACCTCACACTTTTGATTCTGATCTGGCACCGTCTTTTGATATACTGTTGTTTCAATGTATAGTTTGTACATTTATCTGTTTGTGAAAAGTAGTGAATTATAATCAGTACATAAACCAAACTCTTGAGATAATTAGAGGTATTACCTGAAGTAGGAGGAGATATAACAGTAGAAAGACAAATATAATCCCCTCAGAGTGGGAATAAGAAGCAACAGATGGGCCGAACCGTACAGGATTTTAAACCACATGCCAACCATTTGGTTCTGAAACAAAAGAAAACTGAAGAATAGTTTTTCAATAAACATGGGGATCTATCTCCTAAACTTAACCAAACAGACTATTTCTCTTTAAACACGTGCGAGAAAGGAAAACCGAACTTTAAAAATAACAGACTTTAGAGGAACCTAAAAACCAGCAGAGATACGAAAGAAGGTTCAACACACCATCTATAGAGAGCTTTACCTTATATGTAAGACGGAAGAAGGAACCTTAAAACAGACGGAATAATACGCTATAGAAAAGGAATTAGCATCTTAAACTAATCACAATAAAATCACTCAAAAACAGACAAAACAGCAGAAAAACAAAGATGCGATCAAATCCAGATGCTAAAGAGTAGGCCTACCTTAGCTAGCTAGCTAGGTTTAGCTTTCGCCGGAAGCAAGCAAAGCAGCAGAAAAACAGAGATGAAAACAAATCGAGATGCTATAGAGTACCTTCTTAGCTAGCTAGCTCTAGCTCTTGTCAATGACAGGCCAAACAACAGAAAACAGAGGTGAAAACAAATCCAGATACTAACGAGTACCTTAGCTAGCTAGCTTGTTTTAGCTTTCGCCCAAAAACGGACAAAACAACAAAAAAACAGAGACTAAAACAAATCCAGATGCTAAAGAGTTCCTAAGCTAGCTAGCTAACTTTAGCTTTTGCCAAAAACAGGCAAAACAACAGAAAAACAGAGATGAGAACAAATCCAGATGCTAGAAATTACCTTAGCTAGCTAGCTAACTTAAGCTTTAGCTTTCACCAAAAACAGGCAGAAAAAAAAAGAAAATTAGGGATGAGAAAAAATCCAGATGCTAAAGAGTACCTTAGCTAGCTAGCTTACCTACAGGGTGCCTCAAACAGGCAGAATGAACGGGAACCTTGAGACAGGCACAATGAATGTGCACTGAAATCAAGAGGAGGTGAAAAGATACCTAAAAACAGGCAGACCCAACAAGATATCTCAAAACAGACAAAAGTTAAAGTGTGCCTATAATCAGACTGAATGAAAGGGTACCTTAAAACAGACAGAAGCTACAGGGTACCTTTATAAAGTCAGACACTACAGAGTACCTTAAATCAACGTGAAAATGTACATCTTCAAACTAGCAGGACACTCAGGGAACCTCAAACAAGAAGAAGTTATAGGGCACCAAGGCACCTTAAATCAGGTAGATAAGGATAAAAACAGAGTCCAAACTGAAAATGTGTTTTAAAATCGAGGAAATAAGGGTATTTTGAAACAGACGCTACCAAGTGTGGTGTATTCAACAAGATGCATGAGGATAAGAAAGTTCTGGAGTTCTTCAGGCTGAATCTGAAATAAAATGGAAATGGTGGAGACCAAAACAGAGCAACAAAGAGGCTGAACGTTATCGTATGAACCTTCAATAAAAGGAGTTTCAGCTGTATGTCAGCGCTGTTCAGCCTCTCTTTGGGTTTCATCAAACTTGTTTTCCCCTGTGAGTTTTCCATCTAAGTTTTATAAGGTGATAATATGTCACAGTTTAGATTAGAGTTTACTTCGCTGCCCACAAGTGATGAAAAACAAACTAATCAGGAAAAGTTAAAGAAGCTGCGGAGAAGTTTGAAGAGAAGAGGAAAACTTTGTGTATTCAGAGTATTTGTGTGTCTGATCGTAATGACAAGCATGTAATTTAGCTGTAGTGATTTTATGATGTGTGGCGTGGACATTTTGTTTGTTTTTCAGACATTCGAACAGAAAATAGGCAGTTCAAGAATAAATAAACCACATCCTGGACGTCTTTGTCTGCTAGTGAACATCAGCGCTCACTGCTGGGGTTAAAGTTGACGTATGATCTCAGGTGGAAAGGCACTTTGACCCAGATGTTAGCCCACCCCACATCTGTAAGAAAATGAGTGTGAAGCTGCAGCTGTCAGTCACTCCTCAGAGTAAGTACGATATATGGGGCATGAAGACGGGAGGAGGGGGGTATTGTTCGGGGTCTTTTTTAACCCCGTCACAGCCATGCAAACAATCTTTCCAACAGTGCTGCTTGACCTATTTCCTCTCATGTAATATATCGTTAAAGCAGCCTTGTGAAATGGCTTAATTATTTATGCTTGATTTCAAAATGAAGAGCTTTGAGAACATGGCTCCACAGGAGGATTGACACACGCAACACTGCTCCTACAAGCACACACACTGAGGCACACTGGGGCCCGGCTTAACTCAAAAAAAAAAAAAAAAAAAAAAGAAAGAAAAAAAAAGAAAAGAAAAAGGAGCCTCGCACACCCTTGACTGAGTTCATCCAGTGTGTTGTGCACAGAGCATTAAAGCAAGAGTGAAGATAAATGCCCTGTCAGCGCCTTTAATGATTTATTTCAAACATTTCACTCCGTCCAATAAGGTTACAATCTATGGCAGGTAATTGTTTATACAGAAATAGATGGCATTTTGTTTGTTTTATTGAGCATTGAGCAGAGTGAACACACTAACCTCAGAAATGGATGCACGCTCAGAAAATAACAATTTGCTGCTTTGGAATCGTTCTGCTCTCGCACTTCTCATCACACAAATTAAAATACAGTGCCGGCTTCAGCATTTTGACTTTCGCATTAGCATCTGGAGCTGCTTTAATCTCCTCTGTAGGGTGTGAGGCCTGTCGGTCTGTCTGATCTATCATACGCCACCGTCGCCTGCCTGTGTGACGGTATGGATGGACGAAACAAAGCCTGAAACAGGCACTAAAGGGTACCCTGAAACAGATACAGGCCGATATATGAATGGGTGAAAACAAAAGCTAACCGATACTGTAAAAAAAGCGGAAATGGTGAATATTAACAGGGAGAAAAGGACCTAAAATGATGGCTTTAGGTACCCTGAACTGATCCCTTTAAACATTAAATCCAAATACCAGAAGAGGCACCAAAGAGCGCCTTAAAACAGCTGTAACTGTGCATTATAAATGGACAAAAACAGAACTTAAAACAGATGCTTAAGAGACCTTTAAAACCTAAGTACCAGAAAATGGCACCAAAGGGTACCCTGAAACAGATTCAGGCCAATATACAACAAGGTGAAAACAAAGGCTGATAAATACTGTAAAAAAAGGCAGAATAATGTATTTTAACAGGAAGAAAAGGACTTGAAATGTTGACTTTCGGAACCCCAAACTGAGCAAATATTCATGGTGAAAACAGATCCTTTAAAACATTAAATTCAAGTATCAGAAAAGGCACCAAAGGGTACCTTAAAACAGCCATAACTGCGTATTATAAATAGACAAAAACAGAACTTGAAACTAATGATTAATAGACCTTTAAAACAGCTTAAAATGACCAAAAATACACTTAAGACAGTACCCAAACCATCATATATACTTGAGGATGAAGACAGAGCCTATCACAAATGGTAACAAGTTAACCTATGCACAAGAAAAGGGCACCAAAGGGTAGCCTAAAAACCGGCAGAATCCAGTCCAGGAGTTAACAAAAACAGGGCCTGAAACAGATGAGTAACAGAACCCTTAAATATGCCAGAAAAAAAGAAAAAAATCAGCAATGTGGGTACCTCAAAACCACCAAAGGGGACCTGAAACCAGGCAGAGAAAGTTTAAATGTTTAAAGTGATAAAATGATTAAAAGGGTACCTCAAAAAAGACAAGCACGTCAATGAGGTAGAAAGACTCTGGGTACTCTAAGACAAACAAACGCAAAAACTAGAGAACCAGCTAAAGGTTACCATGAAACAGGCAGACAAGGATTGTAAATATAGAAATTCAAACACTGTCAAAGGTTAATTTAAGACTGGCAGACATATCTGTAAATGTGGAAGAAGACAGACTCCCGAACAGATGCTCTCTATGTACCCTGAAATAGATACTTGAGGGTATCTGAATCAGGTCTAAGTCCGAGACA